GCCAGACTATTGAGCTATTTTGACGAATATTTGCAGAATAAATTTATGGAGGGATCTGATAAATTCGAGGATTCCACGATCGATTTTATGAATGTGCCAAGAAATACGTGCTCATATTAGCGTGATCGCTTGCTACACATACGGAGTTTCCGCTGCAGCCCTAGCAGTAGTAAAGTTAAAGTGATACCTTGCTTCATTACGTCCTTGCATGCATTTTGAGCTTGAGGAATTGCACGATTCGTACAAATTATGGATTCTTTGAGAAATACTAACTTTATATATATTTCGACGTATTCGTAGAGTCTTTTAGGTGCTTGATTAGGAAGTATAGTGAACGAATTAATACTTCCTTGCGAGAACTGATAGGGCGAATTTCAGTTGGAGAGTTTCGCGCCAATGCAGACCTCTGATGAATTCAAGGTCGTCGATGTGAGCAAGGTGGCCTGGGCCAAGTCCGAAGGCAAACCATGGTGGCCAGTGTACGTCTGCGATCCGTCCAATCTCCGGAGCGAACTCCACTTTCTTGGTATGTGGTGTTGCTGGCCACAAACCCTGTTGATGCTGGGTGATTGTACTCAGGGTCAGGTCATCGAAGAATGCTGCGGAAAGCACAAGCCGAGCCTAATGAGTACTTTCTTGCATTTTACTTTGGGTCGTATTTATTGTGAGTTGTGCCTCGTTACTTCCGATCCGAGCTGCTCCTCATTCCTTAGCCGCCTTCACTCACGTAACGATGGTACACTACAGCCATGGATGTGCCCAAGCTACTACGAACTTCTACACGGTCACTCCTTGTTCAAGAGAGGGCCATTGAAGGATGCATTTCGAGAAGCCATTCGTGAAGTGAAGGTGATCACACTACCGTCCATCGTTTAATACACACATCGCGATAGGAATTCATAGCGACTAAAGCTGAGTCGAGAGTGCTTCCACGAATGGTTCCGTCCGACATAGATTTGTCCCTGGAGCCTCCAACTCCACTGGCATCGCAAAAAATTCGTGTGGAAGCAAATCCCAATGCCATCGTGATTGGTATGATCGACCGAGAGGTGTGTGTACTCATGGACATGATAAGATTTGGACGAAGAAGATGGCGCTCCGCAGCGGTGTTTTTCCCCGACTGCCCAGAGATCTGAGGAATTGCCTTACAATAGCTTGGCGTGGTGCTATGTGGTTGGTAAAACTTGGTGGCCAGTGTATGTTTGCAATCCCGACGACATGTTGGCCTTGGCAAAATCTGTCGACAAACGAGCACGCCTTGGGAAAATGGGTACAACATTCATTCGTTTGCTATGTCTAATTATTGTGATCAGTGACCACGTACACCACGGAAATTCAAATTGCACAATCCCACAAGGCTACACAGAGATTGTTATACTTCTTTGGAACACACAACATGTACGAAATATTGAAATCTTTATAGAGTGGTCTAATTTTACGCTGCAGCCGACTGCATGATACGGAAGACGTGGCGTCGAGCACAGGAATTAAACTCTGGGAATGCGATGAGCACGCGAGATTCTTGGCCGACAACACGACGACTCGAAAGGACGAAGAGTTTGCCCGTGCCATGAAAGAGTTGAAGGTACTTTGGCGTGTCCTTTTTAATCAGTCCGTTTTTCGTCATTCTGTATGCAGGATTACTTGTCCATGGACCCCAACAGATCGTTCCCACCGTATAGCTCGTTCAAGTCACCACCATCATCGGCTGAATCGCCGCAAGACCTGCCATCAAGTGAAGTGCCTGTCACATCGGAGTCGCAGCAACTAACGTCCTGGTCTTCAAGTGACAACGCCACAACTCCAAAGGAAAACATCCTATCGAAAACCGATGAGCCATTTCTTACAATGCTCAAGAAGAAGCTTCCTGAAGGGCTCACGAAAGAAATTGTTTCCAACTTGGCCTCATCTCACATTCCACCATTTCCACTTCAACGTGAAAATGCTTCCTTGAATATGTCCAATGTAGCAGATCCCAACGTCTGCAACCTTCATGGCAGCACACATTCAAAGGCACCTCGCGATGACACGACCATTCCAAAAGCAAGTCCGTACCAAGACATTTCTCGAAACAACAAACGGCAACGTCTATCCACGGAGACACCCATAAAGATGGAGGCAAACCTCTCTGCAAGTTCAGTTGCGGTGGAATGGTTACAGGACTGCGTTTCGTGGGCACTTTTAAATGGTGAATTATGGTGGCCAGTTCGAGTCTTCGGGTCAATTCTGGATGTCGAAAAACTACGAAATCCCGGTACTGTACATCCGAAGAAATTCACGAGCATCTTAATTGTCGTTGTCAGGCGTTGACCAGTCCACAACAACGGAACCAAGGTCTAATGATCGTCAGGCGTACTACTTCGGTCGAAAATGTTTGTAAGTTGCAGAATGATTCCACAAGTGCTTTATCGAGGAAATGTGTAGTGGAAACATCTATCTCCAGGACTTGAAACCGTGGAACGGTCCCGACCACAATAGCTTGATTTATGAGCAGCCTGTGTTGGAGCAAAAAAGTAAAGTCTTTGTATCTGAGTTTGTGGATGCTGTCGCCGAAGCTGGGGTAAGTCCTGTACCTGGATGAGGAGTACATAAACCCAGTTCAATTTTAGGACTTTGTAACTGTGTATGCTTCTCTGACCGAGCGCGCAACGACAAAGTCACCGACAAGCCAGTTGAACCTTTCACCAGCAGAGACTTCGACTCAAGATGAGCCACCTCGAAAACAGAAAATGATACACGAGCCATTTCGAGAGAATGGTGTTGCAAACCTGCCGACCCCGACAGAAAGCCTTGCGTCCTACCAAAAGAACCTCGTCCCCGAGTTTGTCATGCTTCGAAGTGTGATGCGAGCTGTTGTCCCGGCATGGAAAGTTGCCATTGCGACGTCCACGATTGAAAACTTCACGGAATTTTCCAAGTCACTGCAAATTGTGATGGGTCGTCTGTATACCATCATGCGAGTTATCGTGGACAGTCCTGGGTTGATTTCATCGCCGTTGGTGTTTGTAAGCACGCACCATTCGATCACGCTATGCCTGTGGACTGTTATTCTCAGCGTCGCTTTGAGGAATTTATCACCTGCATCCTCCAACGACGTCCATCTCATGCAAAAATGCCTCCGATGTTTCCTCTTGTCCGTGGACGGCATTCTCAAACCGCCCCTGCACTCGTTTGTCATCCAGCAATGCTCTCAATTTGCCAATGAAGTCCTCTTATTTGCACGGCGGTGCCTGGCTCCAGAAGTCGAGAAAACACGGGAGTGGATGCACCATTTCTTCATGATGTACTTGTCGCCACCATTAACTTTCGAGTACTGCCGCCCGATCCTTCCAGATGTCAACAACCACGTGCTACGGAGTTTGCCATTAAAAATCTTACGCGAGCTCTCCAAAATTGACGCATTGCGGCGTGACTTTGAAACCCCACGTGTTGCTCCCGCAGTTGCAATCCAACCGGTCGCCACCACTGAAAACGACAATGTTTCCCAAAGCACTACTCCCAACGGCAGCGTCACCACGACCGTATCCTTTTACGAAGACGCGTTGGGATTGCACCTTGGAGAAGTGAAGAATTGGTTGTGTGTCCTTGGCATGGTAGAGTCTGCACCAGAACAAACCCAGCGCATCGTACAAAGTGGTGCCGTTGCCAGGGGCGACTACATCGTTGAGGTGAATTATAAACCAGTGTCCGAATTGGGTGGACTCAGAGGTTTGTCCTCCATCATTTCCTCAAGTGCGCGGCCTATCGTTATAACGTTTCGACGACCGGCATCCAGAAGAAATACTGCGACAGAAAAAAACCTCTCAGCAAACGTAATCTTCGCGACCTCGAATGCTCATGATATATCATCTGCGTCGGCAACTCACAGCACATCAATTTTGGAGCTGCGTGATCAATTGACGACGTTTGAAAACCCGTCGATTGTTCAAACGCTGGATGACCTCAATCCTTCGGCGATCGAACTCGCAACACCAACTGTGATGAACCTTGTCGAAGGGAGTAGTATTGCTCCACAAGAACCGAGCATTGTCGAGTCCAGCGATCCTTCTCATCCCCTCGTGCAAAGCGAAATGCGTTTTCGGCAGCGGCAAGATCCACGCTTGAACACGTACGTGGACGATCCAAACTGCGGTCTTTTTTCTCAAAAGTATACTAGAAACGTCCGAAGCGTTCAAAACCATTCATTGCAACAGCGGATAACACATGCAGATCAGTATTTTCAACCAAATATCCTGACTACTCCGTCAAGTGTCGCAAATGAACCTAGTTGGTACCACGAAAGGGGGTACGATCCCTTACAACACCAGTTTCCAGCACTGCCGACGCACAATGTCACCTACGATCAAGGCCCTGTGGACCGCGCCACGCAATTTTACAACTCTGTCAACATGCACGCTGTGCCTGCTCCCAACAACCTCGGCCCACCGAACTATTTGAATTACCCACCACCACCCGTCGTTTACTTGGCTGTTCCGATTGGCCATCCTTGGTATAATTCGGTGCTACAGAGGTCAATGGCGTCATATTATCCTCCTCAACTTGGACTGCCTCATCAACAAAACAACGTTCGGAACCGAATCAATTTTGCTCCTTGATACAACCCCACCTAAGTCGACGTTGCTTTTCGCAATGTTTGCGTCGTTTTTCAGGAAAAAGTATCGAAAAAGAAAGATCTTGAAAATATAAGCTCAGAGCTCATTTCACGAAACTCGAGTGCATGAAGTATGGCAACAGTAGATCACCAATGCTAGATGGAGCTGAGTTGCTACTGACGGGTGAATTTACAAGGATTACCGTAGAGGGAGTCGGAAATTCCTTTGCTTTGGAAGGAATGCTTCGCAGCAACCTCAGCCAAACACGAGGCATACATGGTGCTGAATCCCGTCAAGAGAATGCACTGTTTGAAATAGTGAGCTCTTAAAATAAATAACCTGTTACAATTAGATCGGTCCTTTGTCCAGAATTTGTATGGAGCATACAAATTTTTACAGTTGAAATTCCCGCTTTTTCACTCACGTTTCGAAGCCAGCAGCCCGTTGGAATGGCACCAGATTCCATCGAGCATAACGCTATGGCGTGGGTGCTTACCGACGGCACTCCATGGTGGCCAGTCTTTGTAATTGACCCAGCTGATGTGCCTTTAGAGCTCAGAAGTCTTGGTATGTTCTCGACTAAATGCAACGGAACCTCACGACGAATTTTCTCAGGGAGGTTCGAGGGCGACGTGGAATCGGCCAAAGCTCAAGGGTCAGGCGTTCTCCTCGTGTTCAACTTTGGGCGACACACATTGTACATGGATTGCTCCTTTCTTCGAATAATATTGATGTCTTGTGTAGATCCATCCACAAACGCGACGCAATGAAGCCATGGAATTGCCCTGAACACCCCACACTCCTTCGAGGCCATCCTTTGTCGGCATTTCGAAAGCTTGGTAGCATTACAGACTTCCTCGACGCAATGAATGAAGCAACGGTTCGTTGCACCTTTATCCACCCTAAAAACGCGTACTGTGACTTGTTGTTTTCGATGACAGGAGTACAATTCGAAAGACACCAACATTCGTCAATTGCTTCCAATTCCCCAAGACGAATGCTGCACCACAAGTCTGCCACACAATGTTTGTGCGAAAGAGGTTGAAGATCCAGTATCCTCGAACTATTCCGCACAAACAAGTGGAGAAATCAAACGTGGATTCAAAAGCACAAGTGCACAGGAAGTTCTAGGCGGTAGACAGCATGTCGAAGTACCTTTTATCGCGGATTCCACGCCAAGCAGTGCCCACACCCAGTGGACGCCAAGGAACCTTGACGGAGCTGCCACTGTGATCTACGACAATAACGTCGATTGTACATCTACAACGATCGATGCTGAACCACTGTCAGCAAGCTCACGCGAACCGCAACTTTACGCTGCCGCGATCAGTCAAGGAATTGTCATTGAGCAGAGAGCGGAAAACTTCGATGTTGAGCTGCAAGCTGAACCAACCTCAGAAACCACAGAAGATAAATGCCGGAGTGTCTCAAGTCCACGCGAAATGGTACATTCTCAAAGACTCGGATTGATTTCAGTGCTTGCCTATACGACTGTGTCTCCCAACGGAAAAAATATCACGCCCGTGCAAGATGGCGCTACTGAAACGTTGATGCAGTCGATGTCGATCGACGAAGCTTCCAATTCGTCCGCATGCAACCCTGATGTGCGTAATGAGGTCGCCAAACCTCTTCCGCCGAATGATGGACCAACGAAAGTTTGCTTGCTTGAATCGAGTGAACCACTTTGCGGCTCCTCTCACATTCACGAAGATCTTGAACAACTTGTACCCCAAGCACCTCAGTCAATGGATTCGGCTAGTGATATCGCTGATCACGTACCAAGAGAAGACGATCGACACAGTGTAGTTGATTCAGCGCGTAAGGAGGTGGAACACTTGCCAAAAGGAGAGGACCGCGACAGTTCAGTAGATGCACTGCGTCCAATTGATGAAACTGATGAATTCGTTCAAGATGAGGAACGCAACATGAAAATCCAACCATCTATAGACAACCTATCTCAAGAAGCATCTTCATGCCCGGAGGCGACGGAAGTTCGAGAATTGAAATGCGAAAGTGACCGTGCGCCGCCCACTGAAGTCGTCGAACCCCAGCCAAGAGATGTTTCAATCGATGAGAAGGATTGTCATTCACCTGTTGAGGAACGAATTGTTTCTATTGCTCAAGCCGAAGCACCAACCGTTGGTCACGACGTTAGTGCCGATGGTATTGTTGGCCGTGGACAACCTCAGGAAGTTTCCTCTGAACCACTGGCCGATCTTGTGCAAACGGAGCCACCTGGCCAAGCCGAAATCTTGACAACGCAAGAATCTGGTCGTGCAAGCGGTGGCAGCTTCCATTTCACCAATGCTCTGGCAGATCCCGAGCTCATGGCACTGGCTGGCGTTCTGGGAATCTCAATCGAAGCCCACACGCCCACTTTTGCGAGAAATATTCTTTCAAGCTCCTCATTATCACGGTCACCTTCCTCGTCGAACAAATCCAACCTGATGACATCCACAACAATTCCTGCTGAACTTCAAACAGTGCCTAACAAACCGACCAATTCGAGTACTCCCACGAACGTTGTTCCTGTGAATCAGCCCCTGGACACAGACGATGACGTTGGCATAGAAGTGGTGGCGTGGGCAAAGCGCCGCGGAGATTCTTGGTGGCCTGCGTACATTTGCGATCCTACCACCGTGCGGAAAAAGCTGAAAATTTCAGGTACCTAGCACTCGAATACTTCTCGAAGCGGTTTTTATCGGTTGACCATGTAGGCCAAAACTACAATGTGCTGGTTTCAAAATCGTCCCGTAATGCAGATGTTCGCCTCATCTATTTCTTTGGAGCGCACATTCTGTAAGATTCTTGACTTATCTGTTCGTCAATCATATATGTGTACGTACAGTGGCAGCACTAAATGCGGTAGCCGACGACTCAAGGCATGGAATTGCACAGAGAAAAATGAGCTGCTTCGTCCTACCGCAGCGCAACATACGTCGCAAAAGAGAGTGGACGAATTTCACCTTGCCGTAACTGAAGCACAGGTTCGTTCTTGGTCTCTGAAACTGTTTGATTGACATTATTCAACAGGCGTACTTGGCTACTGAAGAGAACGTGCGAGTTCTCCCTGCACTTGCCAAAAACGTTGCGGAAATCCCCAAGCCCGCGCAACGTTTGCTGACGTTGCACGAACTTAAGCCTGAAGACGACGACATGTCTAATAAATTCGACGATGAAGATGAAGACGAAGTGCCAGTCGACAAAACAACAATCCTCCCTGTTGAAGTTGTAGCATGGGTCAGATTAAACAAGGGGCCGTACTGGCCAGTCTATTTCTGCGACTCGAGGAAGTTGCACAATCTCGGTACCTTCAGGTTGTGCAGTGCAACCCCTTAACGAGCTGTAGGCACTCGGCATACTAATTTGTTGACGCGGGCTCGAAAATATCCCGATCTTTACAGACTCGCATATGTGTTTGGGAAGCACGAGTTGTATGTTGGGTCGCTCAACATATTCAACTTCAGCTAACATATTTTCTCGTAGTTGCTTGCAAAAAACCACGATCCGAATGAAACCTTGGAATTGTGCCGACCACCTGGAACTAATGCAAGGAGAAGACTCTGGTTTGCGACACGAAGAATTATTTGAAGACTTTTCGTTGGCTGTAATTGAAGCTGAGGTGATAGTCGAGGCCCCTTGTAAAATATTTAAGTTCAAAATCGCAGGAATACTTGGCAGCGGACGAAGCGACCCGGACTCTCCCGTTCTTGACGAATTCAGAGATGATACTTGAGCGAGACGCCGATGAAGAGACAAGATTATCCCTAGATGGAACAGGTAATCGAGTACTAAGGAAGTATGTGCTGATATCGATATGCCAGGCCACCAAAATCACCTCCCCGAACATAGCGAGCAAGGGGATGTGGACAGTATGATTTTGGACGTCGGTACTAACTGCCTTGCGTGGGGGAGATCACGTGGATATCCGTGGTGGCCTGCTTACGTTTGCGATCCTTACTGCATGCCGCTGGACTTAATCACGTCAGGTAAGACGTTTTATCACTTCGTCAGTATTGAAATGCTTCATTCTGTTAGAAGGCGTGCCAAGCACGATTTATGCGGCCAAGCGAGATTTGACTGGGTGCCGTCTGGTCTACTACTTTGGTCGGCGAACATTGTAAAATGCTATCATTCACAAGTGCAGCGCTAAATGCTTACTTGATGGATCTTAGTGGTCTCTTGAAGTCTCGGGTGAGATCGTGGGGTTGCGAATGTCATGCTTTGTTCACTGCAGGCCACCCAGCCGCCCAGTTGAAAGACCCTTCCACGAAGGCTCTGTTTATGCAAGCAAAAAGTGAAGCACTGGTACTTAGTCAACTACCCCCAGCCTTAATTGTTTATTCTAATACTGTGTAGGCTTTCCTCGTTCGTCCAAATTTTGCATTCTTATCTCGATCGCAGGAGAACACAGCTATGAGCCACCAACCCCCGATTATGCCACCCCAATTCTCCATTGCAAGTTATTCAGCCACCGTTCAACCTTCTGAAGTTTCGGCTGCTTCGGAGATCCTACATACGACTGCAAGAAAGCGTGGCCGCCCTCCGAAGACTCGTGACGCGACTATCTTAGATCCCCCAATCAAGCGTGGCCGGCTTGTGTCCATTGCCCCTGCGACTGCATCGAACGCTTCAATAGCTCCCACATCGACCGCGTCGGGTGACCATCGTACGCAGAGCGGAAACAACGACGAGGCCGCGACACAAGAACGGAATACCACAGGAGTTGATCCCACTGACGGCACCAACGAAGCCTTTTCCAACGAAGGTGATTCGTCCGAGAATGACACCCAAGGCGATGTCAACTTTGCCGAGATGTCGTGCGGCTTTGTCGCATGGACCCGGTCTTCAGGGTTGCCGTGGTGGCCAGTCTTTGTTTGTGATCCTAGTGTTGTGCGAGCAAATTTGTTTCACTTGGGTAAACTGAAGTATTTATTTGTTTCTGTAAACTTTACTCGACCTATAGGTGACGTTCATCAAGGCATGCTTGCGAAAGCTAAAGCCGACCCTGAAGTTCGACTTGTGTTTTTCTTTGGCCTGTACAATTTGTACGTCTCCAGTGTTGATATTTGTATTGGACCACTCACGAAGATCTTGAGCAGTGGTCTCGTCAAAGTCAATGGGCGCATTCCTAACTTAAAGGTGTGGAAGTGTCGCGAGTACAAAATTTTCGAACAAGGTTTCCCCGTCGGGACAATGCAAGGCACCTCGGTTGCTGCAACCTTTTACATTGCAATTCAAGAGGCACAAGTAAGGGACGGTGTTGAATTTGAAGGTAAACTGACTGCAATTGCAGGAGTTTGTTACAAAGGATGAAAATTCTCGCGTTCTGCCGCGCATGGTGCCGTCCGACATGAACCCTCAACTTGAACCTCCACGTGCTGAGACAACGGAGCAAGCCAACGACGAAGTTGACAACACATGTGACCTTGCTGCAGTCAATACATTTGTCCCCAAGAAGCGTCAACAAATTCTCCCCAATATTCCTTTCGGCCAAGTGGTGTGGTCCAAGCCGTCACGCAGTCCATGGTGGCCGGTGTATGTGATTGACCCTTCAAAGTTGCGGCATAACTTGTATCACTTGGGTAAGAAATAGTTTATTGGTAGCCGTCTGATTCATGTGTTTGAACAGGAAAAGATCATCGCCGAATGCTCGCCAAGGCCCAACAAAACCTATCAGAATTGCGCTTGGTCTATTACTTTGGCCGCTACATATTGTATGTATTTGACTCTGGACAAACAATCCTTACAATACTGCTGCAGTGGTCTTGTAAAAGTGAACGGGAAGATCAAGCCATGGCAATGCGTGGAACACGAAGAATTTCTCCTTGGGTACCCCGAGTCGGCCATGGATGGACAAGACGTTGTTGACGAGTTTTACAATGCGCTGAAAGAAGCCCAGGTGTGACACTTCTACAATCGCACTTGCTCAACAGCATTTACTCTCGGCTAGGATTTCTTGTCTGCGGACGAAGACAATCGGCTACTTCCCTTTTTTGTGAAGTCCGACATGCAACCGGACTTGGAACCTCCCTCGTCCTCACAGGAACATGAACGAACTTTCCAAAATCAATCGGACTACTCTGAAAGCGACTCGAATGCACAGACGTCTGCTGCGGCTGCGACTCCTTTAACAACAGCATCGAGCGGTACCTCGACCCCCGACGTTGCAAGAAACGTGCAAAATTCTGCCAAAGACGTTCACCCTATCAAGTCAAGTACTGAAATTCGGACTGATGATGTTCACGATCCATTACAAGATGAAGGGGAGTTTTCAACTGGCTCTGGTCCAAGTTCAACTCCAATGGATTACTTTGACTTGAACACCACGCAACCAATTCAAATCGCTGTTACGCGCAGCATCCCTGCGCTAGTCGCGCAAGCTCTGACGACGGTGGAGTCAAGTACCGATCGCAGTTCCAGCAACTCTCACCTCGAGTTCTCCCAGCCGTCCGTGGAGAAAAATGCCAATGGTTCAACCCGCCACGTCACCGAAGTCATTCCTGCTGAAAGCCTTTGTTGGGCTCGGTGGACCGACGGTTCATGGTGGCCTGTGTATGTATGCGACCACCACAAGCTACGTGATAATCTTCACAATTTGGGTACGCTTGACCATGTTTTGTCATTTTCGATTTAAGATCATAACTAAACCAGGAACCCGCCACCACTACGACAACAAGTGGATTCAAGTGAAGAAAGCTGGCTGTGCGCATCGACTAGTTTATTACTTTGGACGATATTGCTTGTACGATTCTTGTTGATGTGATTAGTTTTCGCACCGATCGATTCGAATAGTGGTCTGCAGAAGAAGTCGCTTCAGCCATGGAAATGCGCTGACCACGAAAAGCTTCTACGTGGACATGGCCATTTATCCATGCAAAAGCGAGATGTATTCTTGAAGGCGATTCAAGAAGCGCAGGTACGTCGAGCATCGTGCTACTTGTGATTGAAGTTGCTTTATCAATAAGGATTTTGAATCGTCCGACCCATGCAATCGACTTCCACCACACATGGTCCCGTCTGACATCAATCCGTTGATGGCCCCACCACCTCCTGAGACAGCATACTTTGTGCCTGACGAGAGAATGTCTCGAGTCGAGAAGGCAAAGACTCTCACTACTGTCGTTCTCCACGATACCCACCCTGAAGCCAAGTTGGACACGGTTGCCTGGGCAAAGTCCGATGGATACCCATGGTGGCCAGTGTACATATGCGATCCGGAGAAAGTGAAACACACCCTTCTTGCTCTCGGTAAATGTCCTGTCGGAATTGCTACGTCATCGTCACGGTAGGAAATGGCCACGAAATCATTTACAATGACGCCGTGCGAAAACCTTCTGTCCTTCGAGCTGTATATTTTTTTGGATCCCACCGATTGTACGTTGCCACCGCCACGTGCTCGTATTGGCTGCGGAGGTGGGCGTCATTGTACTTGTAGTGGCTTGTCCGAAGTGCATACTAAGGCGATTCAACCATGGGATGCTGAAAACCATGCCGTACTTCTCCAAGGCGTTCCAAAGAAACTGATGGGTCGAAAAGGAGTCGTTGAGTTTTTTGCAAAGGCGCTGGATGAAGCAAATGTACGTGAGCAAAATTCAAATTGTCGCATATCCGACGAGCCTTATAGGAATTCATTGAATCCTGCCACCCTGTCCTCATGTTTCCAGATGTGATCGAAGAAGAACTTCAGCATGAGCAGGTACATTGCGCAATAAAAACAAGGAAATATAAGTTTCACCGTAGGGTGATTCCAATTTGTCGAAGTCCACCATGGAGGATACAAAAGAAAATGCCTTCATCATGCCTTACGATTGTGTGGCATGGGCATATCTAAGTGGATTCCCTTGGCTGCCTGTTTACGTCATTGATCCATTTCGACTACAGCATCACCTGGAAAATTTGGGTACGACTTTTCATTCCGTCGGATAATACTTAGTACCTGTGCAGGAAACCGACACGCCAAAGTTCTCGACGAAGCACGACTACATGCGGACACGTACAGAATCGTGTACTACTTCGGCTCCCACAACTTGTACGTGTATTTCATGGATTTTTCATTTTCATGTAAGTTGTAGTGGGCTTCACAAGACTCCTCACTTGACGATGCGAAAGTGGGGTAGTCCCGAACACGATTCAATGTGTGTTCCGAACCCACACAAGTCGAAGCGATCATCGTTTCGGAGTCAAGTAAAGAAGGCACTTGCTGAAGCCGAAGTAAGTTGCTACAACTATGACATTGTAGTCACGGCATTTTTCAGGTATTTTTGGCGAGCAGTGAGCGTATCCGAGTATTGCCCAAAATGGTGGCCTCAGATATGCTACGTTTGGCTGAAGCAGATCGCTTGCGCGCTGAAGCGGCTTCCACAAAAGCACTACAAGATGTTCCAGATAATGTTCCAACGCGCTCAACGGCACAAACATCTGTTCGAAAGAAGGCGCCGACAAGTCCGTCCAAACGTCGTTCTGCTCCTACGAAATCAACACCATCTCAACTTCCAACCCCGACCAAAGGCCGTGTGTCCAACACGCCTCTTCCCACCATTGAATCCGAAGGTGACAGCGATTCGTCGCATTTCGAAAAACTGCTGTTGAAACAAGATAAAAAGTTGGCAGCCATGGAGAAGAAAAAGAAGAATCGACCCAATTTCGACCTTGTTCCGTTTAACAGTTTGGCATGGGCGTTGCTCGAGGGTTACCCGTGGCTACCTGTTTATGTTTTGGATCCGTTCGAACTCCAACCAGAACTCCATCTCTTGGGTGCGACCTCATGATCGCTCAGAAAAAATATGCTTGACGCTTGCCATTAGGAAATGGTCACGGCGCGAGTTTGCGAAAAGCAAGGAAATTTCCAGACCGTTATCGCATCGTGTACTATTTTTCGTCGCATAACTTGTAGGCCATTGTTTCATGAGTCCCTATGATCTCATCGAAACTCTTAGCGGTCTGCATCTTCATCCTGAAACTACTTTGCGATCGTGGAATTGTCCAGAGCACGCAACCTTTGTAACTGGTTTCCCGAAGTCATCATGCCGTGGCAAAAAGGTGTTAATGGACTTGATCGACGGCGTCAAAGAGGCCGAGGTACATCTGTTCGATCTATTCGATATCATGATAAGTTTGTTTTGCAGTGCTTTGCGGCTTCGAACCCCCGCACACGATGTTTGCCTTATATGGTCCCTTCCGACACTGATCCAGCCTTGCCGCCGCCGAGCGCGCAGTTTGTTTCATTCAATTCCCTTGCGTGGGCGATCACAGAGGGATACCCTTGGATGCCTGTTTATGTGTTCAATCCATTTCAGCTTCGGTTCAAGCTGCTAAATTTGGGTAGGGTGGCATGCTCAAGTTCATGGGGTTAACATGTCTTGATAAATCAGGGAGTGGACATCGGGACCTCCTTCGTCGAGCACGAGCTTCGCCAGAAGAGTGTCGAATTGTGTTTTACTTTGGTTCGCACAGCTTGTACGTTTGAGCGTTTCTAGAATGTCAGGTGTTCTTATCTTTGTTTGGTAGTGGAATTCACAAGTTGAAAGGAACTTTGAAACCATGGAATTGTCCCGAACACAGCCAATACCTGGAAGCAAAGGCAGAATCCCTGTTGTACATTAAAAAGAGTGTGATGGAGCAGTTCGACGCGGCCATGGACGAAGTTGAGGTTTCTATTGTTCGGTGCATGTAGCGCGATGCTCATGCGCTTACTAGATGTTCTCCTCGGCTGGCGAATGCCATCGACTGCTTCCTTTCATGGATCCTTCCGATTTTGAAGACGATGCTACTGCGGCTGCAGCAATGTCGCAGTGGCAAGCTGTGCCAGATAATCGAAATTGGGGGCAACCGGTGGCATCTACCCGACCTCGGAAACACCAGACCCAACGTGCTCGGACTCGGCAGTTTTCTCCTCCTCGACGACGTCCTGCCAAGCGCCTCCGGCTATCAGACAAGGAACAAGTAGTGAAGCAAGTAGATGTGATTGAGTCGCACCAGAAGGCTTTGGACGTCAAGCACTTGTTTGAGTCCAAACTGGCGTGGGTGCATTGGGGCAACGAAATCTGGTGGCCTGTGTACATCTGTTCACCGAAACCAGTCTACCAATTTTCATGGGGTATACATGGCTATGCTTCATGTCTTCGCTAAATGGGTCTTTCTAGGCCTCGATCGGCACATGGAGTCCATCAACTACGCCGACGTATTTGTCGAAGTATATCATTTTGGGACCAAATCCTTGTACGTCAACATCCTTGTGAGCTGAGGGAGCTAACGTCAGTGTAGCGTTGAGCATCCCTTGTGCAAATTGAAACCATGGCGTTGCAGTGAACACGACGAATTTGTGCAAAGTTCCCTTCAAAGGGATTCCGACACCACGGTCCAATTCAAAGCGGCATTTACAGAAGCAGAGGTGCAATTGTGACAAGGGAATAACGTCCTCTTACAATGTGTTGGAAAGGATTACGCTGCTTCCTTGGCGAAATATGCCACGGATGATGACAAGTCAACGCCGCCGTCCCCTCAGGAAAGTGTGGACATGGAACAGGTCGTCTATATGGGAGAAGTAGAAAAACTCCCGTCGGCACTTCCTTCAGATGATGAAGATAGCGGGGAAGACACGAGCGATGAAGAGATGAACGAAGAGGATCCCTATCCAAGCAGTGATGAAGAGTCCGCTGGTGACAGCGACGACAAGGACAATTGAGCTCTGCTGTACATGGCACACAGCCATCATAAATGCACTAAATTTTGTTCCTCCTGTAATTCCAATGCACTCTTCAGTGTGCATTGAAACATACCGGATACTGGTGATTTGACATTGCTAGTACTAGTACTCTACTATTTGTACTATACAGCTAGGTGAAGAAATAATTTCAAAAAATCACATGAAAACGAATCACATTTTGCGAGGTTACAACAAAATCACCCATAAAAATGCTTTGAATTCGCGGTTCAAAAGCCAAGTGACAACACGATGCAACAGCCACCGCCACAACTCCCACTTCCACCAGGACGGGCACCACCGTTGGAGTCGTATGCACACAATGCGCTGCTACATCCCCATGTAGCACCACCGTGCAGGTTCTTCCTGTCTGCGAAAGGGTGCATGCGTGGATCGTGCTGTGAATTCAATCATGAAGGTTCACCTCGTCAGTCATCATGTTCGCAGCAAGCACTGCCCGCTGCAAAGGTGCCTCAGTCAAGACCGCTCTGTCGGTTCTACGCAAAGGGAGAATGCAGAAATGGCACACATTGCTCATTTTCCCATGGTGCAGACAGCAATGCTATGCCGAGTATGAACGCACTCGATGGTCCCACATCACAAGCTATGACGAACTCGTCCGATTCCAACTTGCTTGCTGCATTGGACGCTGACAAAGTTCTGACCAGAGACCTCAGTGGCCCCTTCTTCTCCGTGGATGTCGAGTGCGTAGCCACTGGCACAGGCTACAAGTGAGCTCTCCAATTCTTGTGGTCGCCATATCATGGTACTCGATCTGCGTAGTGACCGCGATGTTGCTCGAATTGCTGTCGTTGACGAAAACGAATCCACTGTATTCGATGCCTATGTCAAGCCTGACAAGCCCGTCGTTAGCTACCTGACCCAACTAACAGGAATCACGGCAGAGTGTGTTGCATTTCACATTGGGTGGCAGGCTCGTGACCGTGCTATGTAGGCACCTGTCAGCGGCACTTCCACTCGCCAGTGTCATATTGGACTTGAAGAATGTGATGCCAACCAACTGCGTTCTCGTCGGACAATCTGTCAACAAGGACGTGCAGTGGCTCGGGCTTCAACCTGGCGTCGACTTTCGCGAACTCTTCAACGTAGCTGATCTTTTTCGCGTGCCTACGACGGCGTCGTATAACTACCGGTATTTTTCATTGCGCCACGTCGCGAAGTACTTGCTGGGGGCGTCGATTCAGGTGCGATCAAGGAATCCTTCAAATGATGAATGAACAATCCTTGTTGAGCAGGAGCATGACCACGACCCTGTCGTTGATGCTGTCTACGCCATGAAGATCTTCAAGCGGTTTCGGTACCTGCATGAAAACTCGGGCCATCGCCAAGCCGTACTCCAGACATTGTTGAAGACCCCGCGAACGCCGTCGTTTGCCACGAGGTTTCCCGTGATCGACGGCGTTTTGATGTCTCCACCCAAAGAAGGCTCGAGTATTTAATTAGACTATGGACAAGTCATTACTTGTAGCTACGATTTTTGTTCATTTCATGGCCTTGCAAGGCGTTGGATTCTTCTAAATGTCGCTGTCGTCGGAATCGTCGGGGTCCGCCACTCCATTGCTGTTTTTGTCGCCTTCGACGTGTTTGGCCTTTTCATTGGGCTCATTTTCGTCTTCGGATGGCGATGACGATTTTAGCGATGGCAAAGCCCCGTCCGAGTCTTCTTCCCAGTCGTTGGCGAAATCATCCAAGTCGCCGCTCACATCGCTGATACTGCTGTTGTCTCGCGGGGATTCGACCGGTGGCAAGCCGATATGTTGTTGTTTGAACTGGATAAAGTCACGGCCGTTCGGGCCATCCCACGGCCGTCGGTATTGCTTTCGAATGGCTTTGATGCGATGGTTGTTGATAATCTGCAACAGAAAGCATGACATCCGATACGGTGGGTCGAATGAAAGTGACCAACCCTGTCGCGGACTTGAGCGCCGGCCTCGACCAGCAGCTTATCTATCACTTCGGTCGCATAATGGTTGTAATCTTGACGTAGCTCGCCCTTGATCTTCATGAGTAGCGCTTGCATGTCGTGGATTTGTGTTCCCAAGCGAGTAATGTCGTCGTTGATGTCTTCTTGTACAAACTACACAATGGATAGTTGGGACGACCGCACCAAGCAAGAGCAAGAGCAAGATCGAGAGTACCATAGCTTGCTTCTCGTCCTGGTCCATCCATCCTTCTCCCGCCACGGCTTTGTCCAACGCGTGTTTTTCAATTGCTACATGCAAGTCAGCCCGTCGCAACTCGATTTGGCGCTTGAGGTGAGGAAGCTGCTTCTGAATAACCTTCACCCGCTGCTTTCGCTCGCCTTTTAACGTTTTGGCTTCCTTTAACAGTCGCGCCTACCCACCACATGATGGAAACTTCTCAACACGTTGACGACCAACCTTGCCATCACGCGATGTCGTGCAAAACGTGTGGATTTCACTACGAACTTGACACAGGGCTTGAGCCAGATGTTCCTGCTCCCGCTGACGCCGCGCCGCTTCTTCGGGGGATATGAATATCTGAAGAAGGACCCAGCCAAAGCGATAACACGGCTCGTGGCGCTTATTCTTTCGAAGGAGCTCTTCGCACCCGCATCGAAACGGCACTTTGTCCGTGGCCAGCCCCACGGGGCCGTAAACTCCTTTGTAATGGTTCAGCGCATCTTCCACGACCTCGCGGGTGTGATTAAAAGCTTCGTCCTTGAAGCCGCGCTCGACGCGCTTCTTGATGACACCCAAGATGCCAGGGATGTCGTCCCAATCGTTGTATAGCGCGCACGGATCAATCATGTACACAAGGGAGTCTTCTGCTTCAAAACCCCACGGTCGAGTTAAATCGTAGCGGAACTCGACTTTGTCTAGCCATCGTTTGGCTTGAATCAATTGACACAGCTTGAGAACATCTTCCAGTACAGCCTTCCGCGCCGTTTGCGCTCGCTGAAACTGGAGTTCGACCAGCGCTTGAACGAGATCGACCCCACGAACAGTTGGGTGTTCGTAGAACGGGCCGTTGATGTACGTGTCGGTTTTCTTTTCAAAATCTGCCAGATCCGACGGTAGCAGGAACAGGATACCCGAGTGGAGCAAATCTTTCGCTTGTGGAGTAAAGTGATCGTCGTGGAAGCCATACTGAGCGGCTGCCAGAAGCCTCTTCAACTCGACGACACGGTCGATGCGCTTTTGAAGATATGCATGGATGGCCTCGACGCCTTGGGCCAAGATGTCGGGAGGCGGTGACCGAAGTGGATTTCCATCGAACTGAGCCAGTTGCAGCGTCCGAAGGTTCCCAAACTCGACAGGGAGCTCGGCGATCTTGTTGGCTTGCATCCAAATCCGCTCGATGTGTTTGAATTCCGTTGCGGGCGGTGGATACACATTGAAGCGATTGCCAGACCTAGCGCATGAGTCGTTTTGGTTCATTTGATGATACCCATTTCATGTGGCAATGGAAATCGTTGACGACGTACAGAGACAAGGCAAGAAGGTTCGACCGACCGATCGACGGCGGCAATTCCGAGAGCAAGTTCAAGTTTGCTCGAAAGTCGACGAGGTTTGTGGGGCAAGCAAAGTCAAACGATGCCAGCGTCTCGATGCGATTATTCGACACATCGAGCACCCTGAGCGCCGTAAGATGGGCCAACGTATCAGGAAGAGCCGCAAGATGGTTGTGAGGAACGAGGCATTCCTCAAGAGCCAACAGCGTGTCCATTTGGTCCGGTAGTTTCTCGAGGATGTTGCACCCCATGCGCAACACCCGGAGGTTGGTGCAATGCGCGATGGTGTGTGGTAGTTGACTCAATTGGTTGTTTTCGCAATCGAGCATTTCCCACGGACACGACGATGCGATGCACTCTGCATGAAACTCGGTGAGCTCGTTCTTGCGCAAGGTGAGGATGCGAAGCGATGTCAGCCGCGCGATTTCGACGGGCACTCGTCCAAGCGCATGGCCAGTTAATCTAAGCTCCTGTTTCAACCGCACGTTGAAAAAGGTTGGAAAAAGGACATTGCACGAGCATTTTCATATGTACCGTCAAGTTGGTCACGTCGAAGAGCTGGAACGGCAAATCGGTGAGGTTGCGCCAGTGAAAATCCAACACTTGGGTGGTCATGGCGCTCTCAATCCGTTGCAGCAGCTCTTTGTGAACGTGTAGATCGGTCGACTACCGTTTTGAGACTCGTCAAGCCAGCGTTGCCCTCGACGAGGATTACCACACACTCTGCTGCAATGCCTGTTGTGACTTGAAGTGGCTGCGGTGGCATTCCTTTGGCGTCTCTGTCGAGGATGGAATTCACGTCCATTACACGAGGACAACGGAGCCTGTCGTACATGTGGATTTGATTTTTGATTTCCCAAAAGATGGCCGGAATCCCATTCTTCTGACTTGCCGCGGACGGCACTTTCAGATGGTTGTTTCCGACCAAGTTGAACGTTGTCAAGTGTGTGAGCTGCAGAACCGACGGTGGCACGGCCACCAACGAGTTTCCGCTTACATCGAGGTGGGTCAAGCTCGTGAGCTGGCCAAAGTCGGATGGCAGTGCCACCATTCGATTCAGCTTCATGTCCAATCTACAACATGCATGGCCATCACAGAGCGTTGCGTGGAATGTTCCTGTACTCTTTGATCTTGGGCATGCGGCAAAACTGGGTCGGCAGGGTTGTGAGAAAATTGGAGCCCACTCGCAGCACAGTCAGGTTTTTCAACTGGCAAATTGTGTCTGGTAACGTCGAGAGTTGGTTGTGCTCGACATCGAGGACTTGCAGCTGGAGCATATCGCCCTACGTTCCATCGCATTAGGATTCTTCCAGGTAATCCCTTGCCGACACAAGCACCATGGACGAGGGGAGCTCTTGAATTTCGTTGCTGGACAGATTGAGGTGCTCCATATGCACAAACCCCTCATACCGATCGAGCTCCTTTGGCACCCTATGCTGCACCGTCACAACGTTTGTTTTCACGCAGTGGTTGGAAGCGCACCAGTCGTATATTTCACCGTTTGTATGATTGAGGAACTGCGTCGGCACGTCCTTCTTCACCTCCCACCCTCCTGGAAAGTGCTTGGCAGTGTGAGTTGGTTGCTTTGCTTGAGGAGCACTGCAGTCAGGGCTGTTGGCCGAATTGGGTAATACTAGCTTTGGAACGCATGCCGTGGTCGATGGGGTTGGTCCAAGTGCGGCAGGTCGAATTCGAGTGACAGCACGAGTTATGTTGTTGTAATAAATAGGTTGTTTCGTCGCAGGGTCCACCTGCTGCACCCAGTCTTGTGCTCGCATCCCTGGTTTGTCTCCATCGCCGTCGTCGTCGTTGTCGTCGTCCATCGAGTTGGCCTTCGCACGCCGCGATTTGAAGGAAGGAAGCGGCAGGAGAGCTGCTGTAATGAGAGCATTCCTCGCGCACGCAAACGTACGGAGGTACTTGAGCTCGTACATGGCGTTGGGCAACGTCACGAGTTGATTGTGAGATAAATCAACGTAGGTCAGTGCACTGAGGCGATACATGTACGAGACTTCGTTCAGCCGATTCCGCGCGACGGACAAGCAGGTCAGAGTGGAGGGAAGCATGTCCGGGAGGCTGGTTAGGCGGTTGCAGTCCAACGTAAGGGAAGTTAATTCAGACCACCTCGAAATCTCGGGGGCCATCGACATGATGCTGTTTTCACTTGCATTCAAGACTTGGCAGCCGGGAAATCCGTCGCAAAATTGCCGAGACAGCGTTCGGAACTCGTTGCGGCTGATGTTGACGTGGGTGATGAACCGGGCCATTTGGAGCATGAACGTTGACGAAAGCGCTTCGGGGAGCACGTCAATTCCCAACGCTTTGATGTCAAGTTTGCCGCTGCCGTAGCTTTGGTGGATGGCGATCTGAATGGACTCGGCTTGCGTCGGTGTATCGTTGGCGAGACCTTTCATGCGAGCTTCGCCCTGTGCTCGGCGCCGCTCCATGACGACAGAGACGGTGTTGAGAGTTGGGACCCCCGTGGTGGCCATTCTGCGCAACATTCGGGAGAAAGCGCAAGGCAACCAAAGTCGTACCGCGTTTCAAGGAAGGTGGTCCTGAACTTCTCCGCTTGCTGCTCACGCATGTACCGCTCTTGATTTGACAACGCTTTGGCCTTGTGTTGTGTGATGATCTCCTTGATCGTTTGCCGCGTCTTGTGGTAGCTGCCGTTCGCGTCATACTCTTTGTGGATGTTGACAACGGGCGCGGGCTTCGGCCGCTTGCTGGACGACTCGTTCGGTGGGTTATGCAAGAGGCCATCGCCCTGGAGACCCTCGCGGGGGAACACGTTCGCATGCGTCGTCGAGTCATCCGACCTTTCTTTCGCCATCGTGGGATCTTGAAGCGGCACTCCACTGCAGGAATGTATATTTGAATAGCCAATCAAAAGGCTTGTTTCGAGACAAACAACCGGACGATGAGGAAAATGGCGGTCGATGCAGGTCGGGGGCTGGATCGATTGAAGCGTTCGCCGCGCGTTGTTGGTGGGAGTGCCATGATGGAGTTCAACGAGAGCGCCTGGGTGTGTGCGATGAAGTATTTCACGTTCTTTCCAAATGTAACAGGACACTGTCTTTCGAAGCGTGCCTGTGACCTGGGAGAAAGGAGTTGGATTCATGGATGTGATTGCATGGCATGCATGGATGTCTCAGGCACAAGCATGGCCACACACGTTTTGACTGTGCTCGAGATGTGCTTCCATTACGCTGAAGCGTTTCGGATTGGAATGGATAGCAGTTTCGACAGCGCACTCCTCCTACCACTCGTCCACAAACGACCGATCTTGTCGACTAGACTGCCGCATGGACAAGTACAGAAAACTCGAGCGCATTGGCAAAGGAAGCTTTGGCTCGGCATATCTCGTAGAAAAGCGAGGGGAGCCGGGGAAGCAGTACGTGATCAAGGAGATTCAGATCGACCCACGCGACCAAAAGGCTGCCGTACGGGAAGCCCGTCTCCTCGCGGCACTGGATCACCCCAATATCATTGCGTGTAAGGAGCACTTCATGTTGTCCCCAGGGCAGAAAATTCTTTGCATCGTGACCGAATACGCGGACGGTGGCGACTTGCGCAAACTGCTCAAACAGTACGAGGCGGCAGGTCCGTGCATGATTCCTCCCGCTTCCAGCATTCATCACGTCTCTTGACGTAGGCCGCCGACTGGACGAAGATTTGGTCTTGGATCTCCTCGTTCAGATGTGCCTCGCGCTCAAACACGTCCACGACAGAAAGATCCTCCACCGCGATGTCAAACCCGAAAACATCTTTCTCATGCAATCGCACGTGGTCAAGTTGGGCGACTTCGGGGTCGCCAAGGTTCTCAGCAATACACTCGCTTGCGCTGATACCCAAACGGGCACGCCGTAAGCATGCTCGCTTTGGAATTAGCCAGCGCAACATTGTTGTGGCGCGACTTGGCTTATGCGCCGCCATGTCTGACGGTGCTGCTCTAGGTATTACACCTCTCCCGAGATTTGCCACGGTCTGCGCTACAACCACAAGACGGACGTGTGGAGTCTCGGGTGCGTGCTGTACGAAATGATCACGCAAATGCATGCGTTTGACGGGCGGTACGTTCGCCTTGGCCTTTTCTCGCAACGACGTGGCTGACCCTTGCTTGGTTGCCAAAGAAACCAAAAGCAATTGTTTCAAAATATTGCGTACGGCGCATTGGACACGGCTCAACTCGACCATTGCTCGCCGCGCCTCAAACAACTCGTGATATCGATGCTGGCCAAGGCGCCGCGCGATCGCCCGAGCATCAATGGCATCCTGAAGACGCCGCTCGTTCGCGACCGTATCCATGTATGAGCTGGCACTTTCATGCGATACACAGAGTGCAGTTGTACGCGTCCATGGAGGCTGATCTTTGTGCAGACGTTCTTGTCAGCCCAGGAAATGCAAAACGAATTGGCGCACACGGTTCTCCACGGCCAACATTTGTTTCGAAAACCCCCCATGACGAAAGCTACGACGAGTCCCCGTGCAATGAAGCATCCCGCACCGCCTCCGCCGCCGATCGCAGTTGTGCGGCCTATCGTCCGAGTATGGCAGTCGCACACTGATTCATTGTGTCAAATCGGCATGACGGTAGGAGCGACACCCGGCCGTTCGTGGGTACGCGGCACCGACGGCAGCAATGAGGAAGCGCGGTGAAGCCATGGCGGCCAAAAAGGAGCGAGTGCAAGCGCTGGTGGCGAAACAGCGGGAACAGGCTGAAATGCGGTTGATTCAAGAGAAGAAGGCCCGACTTGCTCGTAAGAAAGCTGAAATGGACCGACGAAACGAGGTGATCGACACGGATGCACGCAGATGGCGATTCAGTTGGAGCTATAGGCGCTGGCTGCTCGACAAGCACGTCAGAAGTCTCCGCCAAAGGTTTGTGGCCAACCCTGACTGGGCTACAATACCCGACTATCATCCTTCGGTCACAGGTACCACAAGACGCGGCGTTTGCGCTCCAGGCCAAGCTCGAGGTGTGCAATGCGATGAAGTCTTACGTTCATGACGAGTTGTGGCAGGCGAGACGACAGCAATTGCTCGAGCAGCAAGCCGTGCGAGACTTACCCATGATGGTACCAGTGAAGGAATCCCGCGATCGCGACGCCGACCGATTGAAGATGGCCGAAGATATCAAGGAGAAGAAACGACTCCTCAAGGATGTCCACCCCAACTCCAACGATCCGATCCTTCTCGTGCAAGTCCTCAAGTCTCCTCACGATAACCATGCGCTGCCTGTACCGCCACCAGTGTTGGCCGCTCCGAGTGTGATGATTCCCAAGGTTGAAGCGATCTTTGCGCCAGACACGATCACGTTGAACAGCACAGGTACCGCCATGCAGCGTGCTCTTCCGTCGTCATGTGATCGTTGGGCAGTGGGGTCGCCCAAGCACGCTGCGACACCAGACAGCTCGTTGCCACTAGAAAGCCAAACGGATGCAAGTGATGAAGAGACCATGTCAAAGGCTGACGCCCCAACCAACCTTGCGGGTGACACTGATGTCCAAGTCGACGACATCGAGGCGACAAGCCGTTGCAATGGCAAACGCAGCTTTGAATACGAGCGCATGGTGCTTCACATGAAGTGCGTCATGGAGGAGGAACTTGCCGAGGATCCCGACGACGACGATGGCGACGCCAGAACGGCCGAGGTCGACCCGGCAGACGAGGTACGGAAACAAGTCTCAGGCTGGCAATCGTATCATGCTCGATGAACGTAGAGCGGTAACGATGATGACAGCAGTGGGGTCCGGTTGAGCAACCTTGCCATCCTGCAACTGCCTGACTTCAAGGCTGCGTTGAAAGCGCTTTGGAGCAACTCTCCAGCCAAGCCAGACGAAGTGCGGGGGGTCATGGGGCCGACTTCCCTCTCCGCAGCGCATGTGGAGGACGCAGCATGGCTATGCAGGTACATGCAAGGGATCGTGCTGGGCGAATCGGCCAGCGTTCAAGTAGATTGACGACGACAACCCTCGAACTCTATATTCACACTTTTGACATGACTACAAAATTTGGACACTACACGAGACGAAATGGAAAGTTACTCGGAGTGGCGCTTCGACCACCCCGAGATTTTGAACGGACTCGAATTTCCCCCGGCAGACTTGACCTCCATGTGGACGAGCTGCTCCAAGCTGGCGGGGGGCGCCGTCAGATCAGAGTACCGATACTCTTCTTCGACGATGCGCTCCGACGGGACTTGGCTCGAAATTGTGCGGCTGCGGCGGCGCAGCGGAGGAGGCAGCAACTTGATGCGCTCCTCGTAGTCTTCCGAGATGACTTGCATCTTTCGGGCCCCCTCGAGGTTCAACGGCGTGTTCGAGTCGAACGCGCCAAGGTTGCCGAGCTTGAGCGACTTGTAAATGGAACGCAGATGGAAGTAATACTTGGCGTACGACGCAGCCGACACACGGACGTTGTACTCGACGCAATCAAGGTAGAGCAACTCGAGCGCGTTGATGCGGCGCAGGGGAAAGTGTCCGTGGAAAATCTTAGAGAAATCGGCGTTGCACATGCTCAGGTCGTCCCAGACTTTAGACGCCATCAGCATTGAGCAAAACACAATCGCTTGCCAGTTGGTGGGGGTGAGTTGGAGACCTTTGCCTACAGTGGCTTGCAACAATCGTTCCACATAGATCAGCCCCATGATGATGCACTCGCTCTCCATTTGTGCGGTGCGGTAGATTTGGGTCATGAAGGAAACAATCTTGTCGACGGACGGGACAGAAAACGACATAGAAGACGACGGGGCTTCGAACCCAAGAAAACGGGGTTCCATAGGAACATGGGCGGAGGTAGCTTCCAAGATATGGCCGTGCAAAACTGTCGCCACGCAAAAGAAGGTGCTCGTCTGGTCGGGCTTGTTCATCGTTCCCAAGCGGACAAAAATCGAGTTGGTGCTGTTCGATCGCATGCGCTGGGGCTGGGGCGGCACGACACATTCGCCCGACGACTGATGGAGGTCGGTCAGAAGAGTGCCGAGATCCGACTGGCGCGTGGCGTAGTACGCAGTGTGTAGCGACACGTGTTCTTCAGATATGGGGGACGGAATGTCCTTGCGCACTGAGGCAGACGAAGTGGATGAGCGCGGAGTAGCGATGCCATTGAGCATCGCGTCAAACATGTCTTCCTTCGCGGACAACGTACGAAACAAGCGTGGAGGGCCTCCCGTTTTCGGAGGTCGGCCGCTATCCTTCGACATCATGCGCTGTGACTGAACACAACTCCCATGAGACGATGGCTTCACTGACGTCGACGAGGGGATGTTGGACTCGTCGACAGCCGTAGGGGAACGCATCATTTTGCTCTTGATGTTTTGCTCCATCATGCGAAAGAACTGGGACGCCGCGTCCTTTTCCTTTTGAATAAGCGAGGCGGGCTTCTTCCAAGTCGTTTCTCGAGTGACTGGGTGATAATAGTATGGACGGTTCGAGCGAGGGTCGTGCGCGACCTTCCACTCGACGGCATCAGGCACCTGTTGGGCGTTCATTGGGACACAAAGAGCAGGACTCAACGGCGGCGACTTCACGGACGAACCTGGGCGACGACGATGAGAGAATGGGAGAGTTCTGAGTGAAGGGCCTTGTTCCCATTGGTCTGCGAAATTGCCAGTCCAGTGAATCTGGTTGGCGCGATTTGATTGGTTGAAACCAACAATATCTGAATTTTAGCCAATCCGATTGTGCTCAATCGCCCGCACGTAGCCAGTCACACTCCATCCATAAGTCACCAACGCACTGCCGCCCAGATAGTACATGCACTCAGGCTCGTGGCGCCAGCGTGTGCCGCTGAACGCTGTTCGTGTTCGCGCGCTCGTTTGTCGCGCCAATTCGATGGAGACACCGCACGCGGGGGAGATTCGTAGCTGGGACAAGGTGCGGGATGGCTGGGTTGCCCCTCGTGACAAAGAATCTCACGGAGCGAGTTTAAACGTGTTTCTAGCGTGTGTCTCGGTAGAAGCAAGGCGAGGGAGAGGCGAAATGTCGGACGCGAGAGTTCCAAGTTGTACTATGTGACCGAGGAGTGCGTTGTGACCGAGGAGTGTGTTAAGTTGGAGCCAGAAGAGGACGCACAACGCAGCAGGCTGGTGCCGACACATGGAGCAGATGTCCTCTTGAACATTTCTGCAAAGGGGAGTTTAAACGTGTGCGTTATATTGGGGTGAGAAGAGCCCCGACCTGATCGGGTTTCATTGACTCGCGCGTCGAAGCTGTGGCTGCGACAAGGGCGACCCACCCAGCCACGCATGTGATGTGCCCTTCTATCCTCCACAATCAAACACCGGCGACGTCACACTGTTGTCCCAGCGTGACACGACTTGGATTACATCGAAGCAACTTACAACTCAATGCTATGGACCTTCTTGTGGAGAGAACTGTGGTCGAATTCTTCAAACGCTTCGTCCTCTTCTTCATCATCGTCGTCATCAACATCGTCAAAGTCTCCGAAATGCTGGCCTTGTTCCTGTCCATGAGGTCCGTTGTCCCCTTGGGGAGTTCCTGGCTCATTCTGCGCATCTTCGTCGTCACCTCCCACTTCCTGAGGTGTTTGCGGGCAGTCCTCTTCGTCGTCTCCTTCCTCAATCACATCCTCGTCTTTAGAGGGTTCAGCCATCATGGCCGAGTCACAAAATTCCTTGGCTTCCGCGGCGAGGTCACCGCCCGCGTATGAAAACCTGTCGAAGTGTTTCGACCGCGCCGCGCTAGGGGAATTTGGCATGTTTACAGGGGAGTCGGGCATCAGCTCTTCACGCGCCTCGCGAGTCTTAGCTATGGCGCGACTAGACACACCAGAGATATGAGCTATCGATCCCCAACGGCAATTGTACCTCAAACAGCTTTCTGGCGTGACATCTTCTTGGCGATGGGGCGGGCGGGGAACTTCCACAGTTTGGGCTAGCAGCCCAGCCCAATCAAGGTCGAAGAAGAACTCATGGGCCTTGATCTCTTCGGCACCAGTGGGGCCAGACCCGAGCCGTGCGGCAGGGTCCTTGTTCAGTAGCTTGGTCACCTAGAAGGAGGAGGAGGGGAGCGGCGTCGTAAGGTGGTCGAATGGACTGCTGTAGCATGAGAGGCTGTACCAAGTCCTTGGCTTCGGGTGTAAACCGTTCGGAGAAGATCGGTTCATCGCTTAGAATCTTTTCAAACAAGATGGCGGGATTCTGGTGGCGAAATGGCGAGTCGCCTTGGATCATTTCATACATGAGGATACCAAACGCCCACCAGTCGACCGCCGTCCCGTACGGCTGCTTCATGATGATTTCGGGCGCCAAGTATTCGCACGTGCCCTATACGTCGATGAGCCCCCGACGCATATCCCGGTCCCTGTACCACAAACGACGACGCACGCCCCGTCTCTTTGTCCACTTCTTCCTTGGACAGCCCAAAGTCGGTGCATGCCACGTTCCCATCGGCAGTCAGCACAATGTTTTCCAGCTTCAGATCGCGATACAAGATATTGGACGCGTGCAAATGGGCTATCGCGAGCAAGACCTAGAGCGATCGGTCAGCTACTGCTTCGAGGACAGCCCCGACGGACCTCGGCCAAGTAGAACCGCGCGCGCTTGATGCTGAAGCGGCCACGGCGCCGCAGGACCTGGCGCAGCGACCCGCCGCTGTAATAGTCCATGACCATGTACAACTTGTCGTTGTTTTGAAACGCAAAGCGCAGTTGGACGATGTACGGGTGGTTGGCTTCCTGGAGAATGCGGCGCTCCGCCATGGTTTGAGTAACCAAGTCTTTGTTCATGACCCAGTCCTTCTTGAGCACCTTCATCGCGTACAACTTGGCGTTGTCTTTCTTTTGCACGAGGAGGACAGTTCCACACGCGCCCTTGCCGATCACAGACACGAGCTCAAAATCGTTCACGCTCATCTTTCCAGGCACGGTCGAGTCGACAAACACCGACTCCTTTTCGCCCAAACGGACGGCGCGGGGTCGCGACCACGACACGAGGCTCGGCAGCGCCCGACACGTCAAACACAGCCGTACACTGCCCTCGAGTTTCGTTGTTTCCATCGAGCTGCATTTTTCACACACTGCGCAACATGAGTTTGCAATCACACTTTGTGCGATGGTTGTACCTGGCATTTGGCACGTTCGGCAGTGGCGCCGCCATCGGCGCATGTTAAACGCCTGTTTGCAGATATAACAGTTCTTCTCCATCCCAGTGGAGATGTTGGATGTTCGGAACCCAGCATACCGCGCACGGAACGCTGCAATCGCATGATCGTCACGATGGAAACGTGGAAGGTGTGTTGTACCTGAAAAGACCGAGTGCAATACGGACTGTAGCACCTCGACGTCCGATCCATCGTAGCCTGCGCTGAGGACGATGCACCCTGCTTCGTGCTGGAGAAAACATTAGCCATCTGTGGATTCGTCTTTGGCGAGTGTACCTCTTTGTGCTTGAGCCGCGCCAGCTGCGGCTCCATGGACGACGCATAACTGACGGCCCACTGAGCCATCGTCTTGCGCAGTAGATACGTGTCGGTTGAGTCGACGCGATGCGTGGACTGGATAAATGCAATGCCGCTGAGTAAACGGCGCATCTCCGGCAAGTGTTGGCGCATCGAATCGACCAGGAGCCGACCACCTTCGCCATAGCACACAATGAACGCGTGCGACGCTTGAGACGTATCGATGTGGTCTCGCCAGCCCGTGATAAGCCGGGCAATTGCGACTTGCATCTGCGAATGATGTGGGCAACCGACGTTCAGGATGCACGTACCATGGACGCATCGGAATCGGCGGGCATGTGGAAGATGTCGTCAAACACGACAATGCCAAACAGGTCGTCGCGGGCGCGAAGCAAGTACGGCAGCATGGACCCGAGACTGCCGTGGTGAATGCCTCCCCCTGAGAGTTTACGCATGAGCCTAATCGAGCACCGGAGAAATGGAGGCATGTCTACCTTCGGATCCCGAGCGGACACACAGCTTGGAGCTCCAAATCCCGGCGGGAGACCCGACACTGTCGCCAATGAACACGACGACGCGATCGGCTTGGGCAACATTACGCGACAGGAACACACTGCATTCAATGGTCGGGTCATCGCACGGGCTTGAATCGTGATAGATGTCGAGCATTTCGATCATCTTGGCTTGCACATTCTTCGTCGCAGACTCGAGCAAGCCCCCCGCAGGCAAATATGGCTCGGGAGGCTCTGTGTACGACAGTGAACCGACGAGTGTCGTCGGTTTCTCGACGCGCGTCATCGATCCCGAGTGTCTGTCAGTTGACGCGCCCCGAGATGCTCGATTTTGTGGCGACATGATCATCTCGTCATCGTCATAATCGATCGAGTTGGAGTTGGGGCGTCCAGAGGTCGGCGGGCTGCCATTCGAGTGCTCTGACTGGGACGACGGGCCGCGATTGAAGAAACTCGTGACAGACGTCACGGACTTCATGCCGGCCAGTGCCACGCTTTTGCGCTTCACGGCATCGCGAATAGCGCCGATCTTGTCTGGCAACCCTGGCATCATCGTGACGGTTCTGCGTGGGGAAAGACAAAACGTGGGAGAGCCGAGCGCCGCGATGACGATGGGATTCTGATATCACACATGGGAATAATAATGTCTTCAAGTTTGTATTCCCTCATCATCGTTTAATTCGAAAATCACTTTTTCATTGATGCAGTCACTACCCGCGACGACGTGGTCGTGGCCACGCCCATACCGTGCATCATATCATGTGGTGCAACTCGTGCGCCTCTTCTTGAGGATGCTGTCACCCCATCCATGGAGACCGTTTACAAAGCCAAGCTCTCTGCGTCGCCATGCACGGCCGGGCACGTTTGCTCAGCTTGCGCCTCAGACCAGCAGTGCTGGTCGCCCTTGATCTGCTTGTACCAATGGTCAATTCTCTGTGCATGATATCATGAGGGGTATGTGCAGTGCCAGCACACAATCGACAGCGTGTGCCATGGTCGATGGGATATTAATGCACTCGCTTGGGCGGTTTTGTGCTGCAGCAAGTGTTGCACAGATGGAGGACCCAGCATGGGGTACGAGATGATGTATCAATCGTCCGGGTAATGCGGGAAAACTTGGTAGTCCGCCAGGTCCGGCATCAAGTTCCCGTTTGCGTCGTAGTGGGCGACGTAGTAGCAGCTATCGCAGTAGTACATGGGGTCGTCGACAGCCATGGGATCGCCAAACGTGATGAGCTTGGCGACGTGGACTTGGCAGACCTAGTCTCGCCCCGTCAGGCGACAACGACGAACGAGTGAGTTGAGCTGTACCAGACACTTTTGGTGATGGTGGCGCTTGGTGAGCCGCATGGGGTACTCGTCTTTGCTTTGGGTGTCCATGTTGTGCATCAAGCGGATGTTTCGAATGTAAAGCACATGTTCGCATGCCCCGACGTGCACAAACAGGTACGGCGTGTCGAGTTGGACGGGCAGCGCACTCAGCGACGTGTGCGCCATCGAGACGGACGCCACATCATATCCTGATGCGCAGTCTAAGTAACGGATAGATCGAGTCGTTCGCACCTGGGTAGTCTGGACGAAGGGCCGGAAACTTTTGCAGCCACCATCGGACCTCCATCGAGTAGTCGACATTGGTTGCATCCCGCTTGTCGACGATGAACTTGTTGGCAATGTACATCATCTTTGAGTGAAGGCCAAATTCCTTCAGGTACTCGTGGTTGCGGCAATAGATGGCATCGGCAAGCTGAGTCAATGGAGACGACCCGAGCACCAGATTGAATTGACTCTTCTTGGACGACTGCGACGGGTGCATCACTTCGACGAGGTACAGCGACTCTAGCAGCGTCACCGGCGCTTCCTATCCATTGAGACGCGTGAGAACCAGTCCGCTGTTGAAAGTGAAGGGCACCACCTGCGTCGAAGTGGCCGATTTCGAAGCAAACATCCACCCTGGAATCGGAGGGTGTTCAATGGGTTGCCCTTTGCGTGTGGATGGATGCGCGTCGAGAAACTACAATAGGATTGTGAGCGCATGATGGAATATTGAAAAATCGGTCGTACTTGTTGGGTCAACGGGCAAGGCCGTCGCGCAGCCAAACATTCGTCCTCAGTAGCCAGGTTTCGAAAGATGCTTTGCACCAACTTCTCCTTGGCATTCGTGGTGGGCTCGTTCTTCAAAGCAAGTCGTGCAAACTCTTGCGTGGCCGCGCGTTGCTGCGTGACGCGAAGGAAGTCCATAGTGCTCAATGGATACAGCTCCTCCCATTGTGCCATCGCGGCGTCAATGGATTGTTGAATTGCATCCTTAACGCTTGGCAGCCGTATATCGTCCACAGAGATGTCAATGTCTGTGTCTGCCTCTTCGTCTGTGCCAGCGAACTGCAGCGGTGGGAATGCCGCCTGCAGTTGTCGTGGAGTACCATCGGGAGCGTCGGCCGGCGGCTGTTCCATCCACGACAACTTGAGACGACAACGGCATAGGGGGTACCCTAAAATTGCAACTTGTTTTCTTAAAAAATACCATTATTCTCCGAGTAATTATAATTAACTTCGCGATACGAGTTCCCGAAGATTTAAATTTTGGTACCCCCTCTCATTTCCTCCCACCCAGCATGCAATTGCTTCGACGCGCTGCGGCGGGCGCTGCTGTGCTGCTCATCCGCGGTGCAGATGGGATCAAGGCTCATTTCTCCCATCGATTTGAATACGAAGATTTCATGGCCGCACCAATGAACGCAAACAGTATGGTAGTCCGTTGGAACTCGCAATGCCCGGTGCAAGAATTCGGCATGGAGGTTGGAGCAGAAGTCGTCATCACCGTCGAGCACGCAGAGGCGCCAGTGGCGTTTTCGTTATTCAACTACGAGCAATGGGCGACGTATCGGTCGTTGGTCTTCGATGTAGCATCCTTGGAAGCATACAAAGAAACCCTCGCCATCACGTGCATGCACGCAGCAACGACTCGCGTCATGTTTGACCCAACCGTCGATGCCCTCAACACAACGTACAAGATCCAAATTGCAGCGTCCAGTCAGTACACATTTCAAGTCGAAAGCTGCACGATGCAGAACAACTTCGTGAATGTCCGTGTCATGCGACGTCGCATCGGGTGACTGGTTTCGTGTAGGCGTCGATTTCCATGGTCAACTTGGGCTGGGACAACGAATTGAGCGAGCACATGGGCGTGGAGCAACTAGGGCTCATCCCCCTCTACAAAGGTGCAAAATCTTGCCGACGGTGCGGAAGATCCAATCATGGACTCGGGTAGTCGTCACCGCGATGTATGCGTTGGGCACCGTGGCATGGCTCGCCGACTGCCTGGTCAAAACGAAATACACACCGGTACCCCGTGTACCTCTTCTGGCGTCGTCCTGACTGCATCTCCAGACCATCAACTTTGTGCTGGCGGCGGCTCTCGTGGGCGAAGCGGCGAAGGCCACCACCAAGGTAAGATTCCGTCATGTTCCCCTTGCATCGATGTTGAAACTACAGGAACTGATCACACACCATGTGAAGCTGCTCTATTACAAGGACTTCAGTGCGAATGGCATCGAACACTCGGTGGTCGCCACCGCTCGCAACGTGTTCGAGGGTGCAACAGACACAGTGTTCATGTCGTTTCTCGTGCTATGTGCGATGGGGTGGTCGTGGTCGCGACGGAAGCTCACCCTTCCCGAACGCCGGTTCTTTTCGATGGTGCTTGTCCTGTACAGCACCGTCGCGACGATCAAGGCCACGTGCAGCGCGAAAGAGCCCACGTGCCAAGCGTACTTTGTACGAATACACTGGTTCGACGACGTGTGAGGGTCATCCAAACAAACGCTGTAGCTGACAGAGTACGCCATCAAGAGCCTCGTCATGCTCGGTATCATCATCGCCCTCAATTACAACATCACGCGAATGCAGATGCACTCGGATGGGATGCGGTGGCATGGCGACAACGTTCCAGTACATTACGCCTGCCTGGAGCTCCTGCGGTGCGCATCCTTTCTTTGCATGCGTGACCTTGTTTTTTTTTACGTGATGTCAGGAACTTCCGCTTGTCTTTCGTCGCATATTTGCTCATGCCGAGCGTTGTCGTCCTTGTAAACGTACGACAATCAACCCTCAGTCGCTATTGCGAATGAATCTTGCGACGGTGTAGGCTGGCTTGTTGCTTCCTCCCGGGTCGTGGCGACTGCACTGGGCCAGTTGTATGAACGAAGAGTTGTTCATGCTTGGTATTTATTGCCACCTTGCGTACACGCTGCGCCCGATGTCGCCGTCGGTGTTTCAAGTGGTACGGGCTCGTCCAGTGTGTGTGTGTGGCTGAGCGACGTCAACTTCTAGATCTGCAAACCGGATCCACCGACCGAGTAACGCATTCGAAAACGACTTGCCGTGTTAAATAAGGAATCGATGACGTGTCACGCGCCGAGTTCATTCGGTTTGAACAAAAGGGTGGCCGAGATCCGTCGTCGAACGCTGTTTTCTTGGAGTTGCATAATCGAGTGGCACCGGTTCGTCGTCATGAACTTGCACTTGAACGCACCGGTGGTTGGAATGTCCGCCTCGTCGCCCCATTCCTTCAGCATGTCCGGCACGTCCTTTCCGTCGAGGACAGTTTCCATCAACGTTCCTTCTTCCGCATGAGCGAGCTGGAGCAAAATCGACGCGACGTAGCGGTGGTCGTGCTCGGCCAAGTTGAGTTCGTACTTTCCGCACGGCGAGATCGGGTTGAACACCTGAAACAACGACCATGTCGCTCCAATTCGTCGACCATGGGGATGCATTCTCGGCTACCTGGACGATGCCGACGCGATCGATAAGTTTCTTGCGGCTACTGCTGTCCAAGACGCTCAGAGCATCGTTGAAATTGCTTTCGTCGACGATACGGCCGAGAAGAATGACAAAAACTTCGAGGCGGACCACGACGTTGTTGAGTTTCTCATACGGGCTGAAGTATTCCATCAAGCGCTGGGCATGGCGCGCGGTAAAGTAATACCTAAGTGCACCCGATCCGATGAAACGTGTGGTCGCTGCGATGGCGTACCGATTCGAAATGGCCCGCAAACCCACGAGTTTCATATCTGGAATGGCTTTGAATTCTTTGAAAAACTGCTCGAACGCGGCGTCCGTAATGGGAATCGCGCCGTGCGGCGGCCGCCGCGTCACGACGAAATCAAATTCGAGCACGCCAAAGCGAGGCAACGACCAGGACGAGTCAAACACGATTGCCTTGTGGTTGTACCTACACCCAGTGAGAGCCACACGTTCAGCACTTGGTGGCGACAAGGGGCGGCGTCACCTGGCGTTACGAAATCCGTTGTTCATGCCAAACTGCGACACGTCTGGCAGTTTATTTGCCATGCGAAACTTGCGGTCGGCAGCGTTCGCCTCAATGAGGCAGAACATGATGCGCCGGTCGACGAAGTTGGACATGTTGAGGCGATAGAACCCCGTCGGGTTGGCCGGGTTGAATGCAATCCACTTGCCCAGCTTCTGCTCGACGTATCCTTGCTCGATCTACAGCCCCATTCGATCCCTTCGCCATCATCATGCTATCCTCGTCGTACCTGCGAGAGGTTGGTCAGACCCACGAGGACCGTGATGTCGCCGCAGACGTCAATTTTCCCATCGTTGTCTTTGTCTTCAAAAAAGACGCCACCAATCGGCCCCGGGCTCCCCATGTAGTTTTCGTCGTCGATTGTGTGGTGTTCCGAGTTGGAAATGCGAGGGATGAGCGCGACGGCGGCGGACGCTTTCTCTGCTTGGCAAGTTGTGCTTTCAAACAGTTTCAGCAACGCGTTGGCCTGCTTGACGGTGACGCAGAACCCGTCGGCCAGGATCTTGATCATAGTCATCTTCTTGTAGTCGTCCAGCGCAAACGATGTCCCGATGAGCTGCTTGAGCCGTTGGAACGGCGCTTCTTTCAGGTGCAGATCTGGACATGATTCTTCGTCCTGCGTCGCAAGGAACGACAGCTTGCCGTGGTTTGGCACCTGACCTTTTTCCCACTTCGCAGTCGGAGGAAGTGGGAGTTGCCCTTTGGGCAGCGTGATCGGGCGGCCGTCGTGGAGGACGTTCGAAAGCACAAGCCGGTTCTGGGCGTACATGGTCAGGAGCTCCTTGAGCACAAAGACGTCGCTGCGGTCGTCCAGGTCCAGCGTGTACGGCCCTGTGCAATACGTGTGGCTGTACAAGTACTCTTGGATGTCAATGTTGCAGTCGGCGACTTCCCACTCGCACTTCATCGAGGACGACGCCATGGCGTACAAAATGGCCTCGACGCCGGCCGTCCCGATTGGGTTGCTACCGACGTTCAGCCGCTCGAGCGTTGAGTTCTTGGTACAGAGGTCCACAAAGACGAAGATGGACCGCCCTTTGATGTGGTTGTTGCTCACGTTGAGTCGCTTGAGCGTCTTATTCTCAAGCAAACTGGTCGCGAGCTGGATGTCGGCGCCACCGGAATTCCCGAGCGAATTGTCCGACAGGATCAAGTCCAGCAGCGTGTTATTTTCGACCATGGCTTGAACGAGGTGGCACGCGGGCTCGCCTCGGATTTGGTTCCAGCTCAAGTCCAAACTCGTGAGCGAACTCTTTACAAGGAGTAGTTCGCCCAAGATGGTCGCGGAGTGAAATACCTTGTTGTGGCTCAAGTTGAGCGTGGTGAGGGTACATCGCTTGAGCAGCGCCCGCACGAGAGCCGTCACGCTTTGGTCTCCCAAGTTGTTGTTGGCCAGGTTTAGCACTTTCAGATGCAGCGCCGCGTTGTCTAGGACAGCGTTGAGCTTCATGTATCCCTTGACGCCGACTTTGTTGTGGGACAAGTTCAGTTCCACCAAGTCGTCTTTCACGACACCTTTCACGACTGCCGCAGACCCTTGTCCCGTCATGCCTGTGTCTGTCATGGATATCGATGTCACATGCACTGGCAGGAGCTCGAGCGCGTCTCCCATCGCTTCAGCGCGCTTGTCGCCGAGAAAGTAGTTGCTGTAGTGGAGCTCGCCGTTCTCCGTGTATCGAGGCGCAGGTTTTTTCGCCAGCCGAAAATCAAATACTGGGAGCGGTAGCAACGCGTCGTTCTCGCACCGTCGAATGTATCGGCCGCGGGACGAGTCGGGCCGGCGCGCCTGGTGCGCCGGGCCGCTCGCATAAATTTCCCAAAACTTGGCCTGCACGTCGTCCCCAACGAAATCGTTTGCTGAAGCCCTTGCCCACTCGTCTTCTTCTAACTCCAAATCCCGCAACGTTGACCCAGCCGCGGTGCCTTTTGACTCGCCGATGCTGTTGCCAGAGACAGCACTCCCATCCAGTATGATTGCGCTACAATCCAGTTGGTCAGCTTCTTCCGTCATGGTGCCCATGATGTCCGTAGTTGACGAGGTGAACGACGTATCTGCCGCCGATACGCACGATTCCCCTTGAGGTCTGGTGGCGCTGGGTAGACATCCTCCGGCAGTCTTGAAGTCGGGATGGTGGATGCATGCAGAGAGCCGCCTCGTGACTTTGTTCAATCTGGCGCGAGGGCTCTTGGGGCTTCGTCGAGGGGGCGCGCTGTTCATGAAGGTTGTTGCGGCCAACAACCGAGTTGACGCCCGACGGTCTATCGCTGCATGTGGATGGGTTGATTCATCTAGACCTTTTCGACCGACGGGGCTTCCCGCCGCCGTGTCGGGTGGTTTTGAGTCCCCCGCTGTGTCGGACGTTTTCCACGACCACAAATTGGCTCGGGGAAATGCTTGGCGCTTGTGTTTGCGATGGGAATTTGTGGGACTCAAGGCCGGCAAGACGCGCTCGGGACTGCGAAGGTAGTCCAAGCTCATGTACGCATCAACTTCGCGGTCCATAATACGCCACCACCCGTCCCGACATACAGTTGGTCATGGCCAAGAATAGCCCACAACTTATAACAGCCCCAATTCGAAACCTCAAGCTTTAGGCGCCTTGGTGGTGTCGCTTGATATACATTTGAGGGCACTGTTCACGTCGAGTTCCGCCTGGCCGTGGGTGCAGCTTAGAAGGCCGGTGGTGGCCTTGTGGGTGCTGGCTACAAGGCGGCGGAGATGCACAGGGCTGGTGGGAGGAATTCGGGCCACTGAGCCACATTCAATACGCCACCCAGATGCTCATGTTTGACAGTGTCGATTCATATCCATATCATGCGATTCAACCTGCACCTATTATTTGTAGGTTTTCCATTCCAGGTACGTACATAGAGAGCTAGCACGTCGCCAACAACGCGCAAGCGACTGTCGGAAGCCGAATACATAAGCACTCACATAGTTCAACAGAGCCTCGTCGTTGGGATTTGTCGAGACGGTCATACGTTGGAGCTTCCATCGAGGAGCAAGCTCTGCCAACTAGCCACAAGCACCCCACAACGCGTCTCGACATGGAAGGATTCGGAATTGAAGAATGCTACGGACTTTGCCGTGGAGGGAGGAAAGTTTATTCGTCCAAGTACATTGTCTCTATTGAGCTTCGATCGCGCAAGCACACGTCTGCCGCAACAAGCATGGACATCGCGCCGCCGAAACGTTTCTCGACACCAGATCCAAGAAGCTACCCGATTAAGTACGATTCGAACACCACCTTCTTTTGTCCCGTACTTCCAAGATCAACCTTGATCAAACTATATCATACAAAAACATAGGTTATGTTTGGACAGTCAATGGAATATTCAGCAGCGGAACGACCACAACCGAAGCAACATGGATGGTCCTGATCAGTGGATCGAATGCCTCCGCGGTGGAAAGGTGCTATCAGAGCTGCAGCTGAAAGCCGTATGTGAGCTAGTCAAGGAGATTCTCGTGGAGGAATCGAACGTGCAACTCGTGTCGAGCCCTGTGACCGTCTGCGGCGACATCCATGGGCAGTTTTACGATCTCCTCGAATTGTTCCGCGTGGGGGGCGAGTTGCCCACGACCAACTACGTGTTCATGGTGCGCCTAATTGATCCCATTTGGCTCTCCCATCTCATGCACGAATGAATATCAGGGCGATTTCGTTGATCGAGGGCATAACAGTGTGGAAACGTTCGAGATGTTGTTATGCCTCAAAGCAAGGTTCGACGCACTCTTCCCGAGGTTGGAATTAAATTGCTTTCTCTCGTAGATATCCAGACCGCATCACGTTGTTGCGAGGAAATCACGAAAGCAGACAAGTCACGCAGGTAAACACGACCTGTTCAGCCAAACGATTTTGACCGAGTCATGCAGGTGTATGGCTTTTATGAAGAGTGCGTGCGCAAATATGGCAACGCCAACCCCTGGAAATACTGCACAGACGTGTTCGACTACCTGAATTTGGCCGCTGTATGTCGCTCATAAGGACTCCTGTTGACGCCGGCACGTAGGTGATTGACGGCAAAGTTTTGTGCGTCCACGGTGGTTTATCGCCAGAGATTCGAACACTTGACCAAGTACTGATTCTCCCTTGAAGCAACGTTCCGTGTCTCTAAGCTACGTGGCAATGCTCTAGGTGCGCACAATCGAACGTCAACAAGAAATTCCCCACGAAGGGGCGTTTTCGGACTTGATGTGGTCGGACCCCGAAGACATTGAGGCGTGGGCGATGAGCCCTCGTGGCGCAGGGTTCTTGTTTGGGTGGAAAGTCACACAAGAGGTTGGTTTTAGACTCGGTGTCATCGTCGTGAGCCCATCTCCGCACGTTTTGTGGTGTAGTTCAACCGCCTCAACGGCCTTGACCTCATCTGCCGCGCGCATCAGCTCGTCCAGGAAGGCTACAGCTACATGTTTCCGGACAAGAACCTCGTCACAGTGTGGTCGGCGCCCAACTATTGCTACCGTGTCGGCAACGTCGCGGCCATCTTGGCGTTCGATGAAAACTTGAACCGCGAGTTCAAACTGTTCCGCGAAGTCCCAGAGTCGTCCGAGCATGCTTCGCACCGTGCGGCCGTCCCGTACTTTTTGTAGACTGTCTGTTGGTCGCGCCAGAGACGAGTTAGAGCATCTTACAACACAGTCCTCCTTCGATGAACACTCTCCGTCGTGTCAAAATGGCGCAACGTGGACCACCGCTGCGTTGGCCATCCCCGCCGTGCGCACCGAGTACGAGAACGCCCACCCGTGTCTGCACCAACATAGCCCATCTTAGACTGGCAATCGTGTAATACAGCACATACCCTGCCCCACCGTACTCGCCATGGGCATTCAAGCACACCATGCCGCCCTTGAATGACGGCACCTTGTCGGCAATCCGCCGTAGTGCCTTCTCGCATGCTGCTTTTGGCTACGCGAGGAAGCACGTCAAGCACCCATGGCATGAGGGAACACCGGCCAACTCGTACATGCATGCCATCTCCCATGTCTTGCACAGCCTGTACACCAATTGTTCAACATGTAACTTCGTGACCATCACAGGGGGAATGGGACGACCTGGTATGACGGCAGAAACCTCATCATGATATCACCGTCGCCAGTGGCTGCCGCCGCGCCCTTGGTGTTGTCCACGTAGCATCCGGCGCCTGGCAATGGAGCGTCCCCGACTCGACTACGTACAAACCTCAGTCTGAAAATGGTCTCACCCTCCCACCCACCCCTGAATTTTATGGTTGGCGCCGTTTGAGCTCGCGCCAGCTAGACAATTCCACGCAATGAAAACAGCTCATACAGGTGAGAAGGGTTGCACCAGCCATTTGTCCAGCGGTGTCGAGCGCAATCATGCCTATCGTGTCGTGGTTGTGCTGGTTGATCGCTTCGCGGGCGTCCAATGCAGCAGTGTGACCAGAAGCGAGGGGTTCGTACGGAGGGCAAGACGATGCTTGTCCACGCACGTTTTTAAAGTAGTTGGGTTGACATTGGTTCGCTCTCCACTGGAGATACAACTCGGTCGAATATGGTGTTGTGAGGGATTCTTCATGGAAGCCCATCATCTTGGCAAACGCCAACGCTCCTTCGCCGGCCAAGACAGAGTGCGACGAATGCTGCATGACCTTTCTAGCCACACGAATGGCGTCCTTGACGCGGCGGAGGTACACGACGGATCCCATAGACTGATCATGTCCATCCATAATCATCGCGTCCAACGTGGTCTCCCCTGTACTGTCCGGGCTGCCTCCATATCCGACGGTGAAGTCACATTGCTGCACCTACACACAAACGAGGAATACACTACTGTGACACGTATCAAACCTCGCAAATATTGCACCCAGCCTCCACAGCGTCGAGGACCGACTGGCGACTTGTTTGGAGTACTTCGAATGCTTGGTTCGTTGCAGCCGTGAATGGCCACGTGTTTAACACCACTGGGGTCGGGAGCGAGAACTTGGGGGCATACACGACTTCCTTTTGCATTCCCTGAAGAGCGAGTTGAGTTGCCAACGCACTACTCTCGCTTGGACCTGCATAGTTGACCATGCCAACGCTCGACATGCTTTCGGTTTTGACAAAATCTTTTTCGGCTTTTCCGGATATTGAGCCAACTTGAAGCAGAACAAGGGCAAAGTGAAGTTGTCAGCAAGTGCAATATTATGTATTGGTAGTCGATGGGTTGGAATAAATAAGACGAGGGGGCCGCTACACTTCGACAAGTCTAACAAAGGATTCGAAGGCGGCGTCTTCGTCGCCGCCACTTCGCAGCAAGCACTTGTGGGCGAGGCGGATCATGTTGGATTGGAACCCACGCACCTCGTTGTACGTCGAGTAAGCTTGCAATATTCGACACACGGAACTCTTCGCACAAGGTGGCAAACAGCATTTATGCACGCGATCTTGTATGACGAGGTACAGAGGACACTCGCCGCACGGGCACAAGAAGTCGGACACAACTAAGTGCCACGTGGGCTTGAATGGCACAATTTGCTCGTCTGGCGTTGGGTTGGCTCTGGGACAGTCGTCATCCGAGTCGGATGAGCAATCTGTGTCGCTGTGATGAGGGGAGGATTGAAATTTCAAAGCTTGGAATGCAGGAGCCTCGACCGGGACATCGAGATGACCGTTGGTTTTCGTTTCTCTCGTTTTAGAGTCGGCATGCGGCTTCACAACAATAGCAGTCAAGCTAGAGTCATGACAGTACGTCGACCTTGGAGACGCATGGGACATCATTCCTAGCACTATCCGATGCAGAGCAAGGCGCATTGATTCGAGGAGAGCCATCGCGGCAGCAAGTACGACCATCCCTGAGTGGGTGTATGACGACGGCGCACAACATGACTCGAACGCTGCCATGGGTGGTCGGAAGAAGGTTGGTAAGTGACAGCCTCAGACCGCTTTGCACTTAGTCTTGTGAATTTTCCATTTGCTCGGCCTTTTGATTGGAGCATCATACTCCGACGTCAATACTTATCTCATGAGTTGTGCAAGCCAGCCTTGCTCAGTTGTTCCAACTTTGAATCGTCTGCGCCATGTACTCCGCGAGCAACCAGCAGCAACTCCTGCTGCGTTGCTGCCAACGCTCGAACGACCGTCGCGTGGCAAAATGACCACGCTTGTCTCCCCGATGCGAGTCTCTCGATGTTGCATAAATCACATGCATCTGCCAGGCATTGTGTGTTTTTGGGATGTATGCTGCTGTTAGGCAGTGAGCGACGAATGCACACACATGAATGTAAAGAGTTGAGTGCGAAATGCTGCCTCGGCCTATCGTCGTCGAGTGCGTAACGTCAGGTATCAACCCCTCGATTCTGCAATCCAGGGTGAAAGGAGCAGGATTCTCTTATCAGGGGCAGTCTTGCGACCTCTCGCCCGATAACTTGGATGGACGTGCCAGAACTTCGTGCTATCGAAGCCTTACTTAGCTTACATTGTTGCCATCTTGTACCAAAGTAACACGATCATTCTTCACCCCCGCAACAACGTTCACAATCGTAGCAAGGTCGTGTTTCCTAGACATGGAGGTTTGCTCTCGAGGGTTCTTCCACTTTATTCGGCATCGTTGTTGCCGAGCAGAGGTTTGCTTTCAGATTTCTTGCAGTTGGTGTAACCAATGTAGCAGCACGTGGCAAAGATGGCGTTGCCAATGCCATCTCCGACAGCACCGACAGTCGTGATCGCACCAATCGACCGCACGTACAAGTCAAAGACAAAGTATGGAATCATGAAGATGCCAAAGTTGCGGTACGACGTGCTATTCCACTTGGTCGACAAGATCGTAAGTCCGCCGAGGGTGGCTTGCGATCCAAAGCACTGGGTCATCAAGAGCAGGGCCGGTGAGGGAGCGGAATTTGAGACAAATTCCTTCTGGAAGGCAAGATCGCAGACCAATCCAGGAAAGAGCATCGTTACCAGGCCCATGCACGTGAAGACGGACCCCATCACCCATTGTTCCGGTCTCATGCGGCGCTGGAACATGTTGCCCATTGTCGTGTCTGAAATGGCATCCAACCTTTCATGTGGCTCACACACAGTGAATGCAAGGACGTTTTATCCCTTAAAAAGTACGAAATGGGTAAGTTTTATATTAAAGTAGTCCATTTTTTTGCCTATGTAAACAAAATACGTGTAGGTGGGAATGCATGTAGAAGAACACCACAGGACTGCAGAGATTTTTTTGCAAATTCTATGGGCGCTCATGACAGAACCAACATCTTCCTGGAGCGCCGCCCGAACGCAACAGAGCCATCGCCATGGACTGCGCCGTCAACGTAGGGTTGAGATGTCAGGAAGTGCTGATGTCTGTGTTCGAGTACCAGCAGGGATTCCCCCGCGATGTCGTTGAAGTGACTCGCGCCGTGACGTTTGCAGAAGACGCCGTGGAGTTGTTTCATCAAGATGCTCGTCGACTGGTGCTACCTGGTACAGAGCAGAAAGCGTTCTTCACTGCCGTCGTAAAGCTCCAAAACTCCGTTGAACGGTGGCTGGCCGAGCGAGGATCGTCAGGGGTGTCCAGGCTTCTTCGAATCCAACCGAGAATGAGCATCGCCTTGTTCATTTGGTCGGCCTCGACCAACAATCTGTCACTCTTGCGGTCGCTGGACATCCCCAAGAATGACCGATATGGCCGCCTTGCCACTGCACTTGCGGCATGGCATGGTCATTTGGATGCACTGGTCTACTTGAGCCATCACGTTCCCATTCAAAGCCTTCCCCATGGAGTTGTCGACGGCGCTGCAGCTCGCGGACACCTCGACACAGTGCGATTCCTTTGCACATGTGGCGCATCAGTATGGCGACCAGTCAACGTCGCAGCGTCATGTGGCCATCTTCATGTGGTCCAGTATCTCCATGCCAACAAGATCGGGCGACTGTTGGCGACCGCGTTGGACAACGCGGTTGAAGGTGGCCATTTGAACGTTGTCGACTATCTCCGACGCCATCACGTTGCGGATACATGCTCGTCGAGAGCTTTCATTGCCGCGGTTGCCAAGGGTCACGCAGCCATGGTGCATTACTTGGTCCAAGAGAACTTGGCTCCAGTCACGAACAGCGCCATAGATGTTGCCAAGTTCAACGGCGACCACGAAATGGTCCAATTCTTGTTGTCTGCTGGTCGTCGGCAGTCAGGACGAGCAGAATAGTTTCGTTGATGCAATCGAAATCCCACCACGCACCTACCGGCCATGTGTCCTGGGTCAATTTGACAAGTGAATCGCTTGGTTGATTGTGGGAGAGATTGTGTGTCATGTTGGTGGCGTAATCACGTCTCGTGGAAACAGGTAATGAGCGTGTAAGGGTGATGAAGCCACATTGTTCCAGGCCATGTCGCACGCCACCACCTCATCATCGGTGGCCGGCGGTGCGGCGAGAGTCCTCTTCAGAGCACAACACGGTTGAGCCTCGGCGAGTTGTTGCGCGTTCGAGACATTGACGTTCCAAAATCAGCTAAACATTCTTGAACACTGACGTGACTGCTCGCCCTGGCTACCCTGTTTGTGCAGGGAAACGTACGAAGGCCGCTCCAGCTAGCGCGCCGATCGCGCTATGCCAATATTTTCCCAGGACGTTGGGTTCCTGCCGATGGAGATTGTGTCGGCGCTGCTCGTCGACCGAAATCGGGTGAATTCAGGTCGTCCTTGAAGTTTACACGAGATCCGCTGGGTACCCGAAAATGTCACATCTATTGAACCAAACTGAGTTTAACCCAGAGAACCGTTAGTAAATGAACATGTAGAATGCGTGCGAATTCACATAACGCGTATCAAAAAGGGATATGTTAACGTGTTCTTGAGGTGAGATATGACAAAAGAGGATTGACTTCACATTTTTGGTTGAGGAAGGGATCGGATTGGTCGAAATGAGAACGTCTCGTTGCAAGCAAAAATATCTTTGTTCCATTTGGGAATTTTTGGCAACAAGACCCAATGTCTCCGCTCAACTACGTCGAAAAGCTATGCGTGTTGACGGACATGGTGGACTCCCCCGCTGCCCAAGTGAAAGAAGCGCCAGCGCATGGAGAGAAGCGCATTGGTCGCGTTGACCTTGTGGGCTCTATCGTCAAGAAATCTTTCGTTGCCGCACTCAGCCAGGATACCCTCGGAGACTCGTGGTTAGCCGTATGGGCTCGCAAATGGAACCGAAGCCTTGCGTCCAAAATCGACATTATCGGCACGTTGTGTGCTCTTGTGTACGTGTCTCCTCGTAATGGATTGAAGAGACACTCATGGATAAGGCTTTTAGGTGGACGCTCCAGCTGTACCAAGCGTTTCTGCGGTGGAATGAGTCTCGTACGGACATCCAGGGCTTTGCGCTGCTGCATGACCCAGTGCTACGGCAACTCACCCCTTCGGACTTTTCCCTTCCGCTATTCTTCCTCGTGTATGGTGCGGTCATCCTTGCACTGGGCGTGTACGGCCGAAATAAGCCGGACCTTGTCATGGAACTCCTACAAGCGAAGACATGTGTGATTTACATGCGAATGGTAAGCTCTGTGTAATCTGCTAGCCGACGCGACGCTCAATGTCAACTCGATAGATTGCATTGTACTTGGTGCCATTGGAAGCACCTGTTGGCACGATCCCGTTGATTGACCCCATCGCTGGCAGCGACGGAGTCGTGCTCATGCGAGATCTGTTCTTTTCGGGACACACAGCCACGACATTTCTCGTGTTTCTGACGTGTCGTCGCCAAGACGCGGCATGGAAGGGTCTGTTCTTTGTCATGGCGGCCACCACCGCTTTCATGGTGACCTTACAGAAGACTCATTACGCGATTGATGTCTTTGCAGCGCCGTTCTTTGTATACACATGTCATGGTATGATCTACGAAGTGCGTAGTGCATGTCGTGCACTGCACGTTTCAGTAACCTACCATCCATGGGCTCAGAAATAGTTCCAAGGTTGCCCTCTCGGCTCTATTTTATCCATTTCTTACCTTATTCGTGACGTCTTGACGCGTTCATGAGTGCTTGTCCGTCCACGTCGCCGCAGTTCGGTCTGCGTGTGCGGTAGATCTCCCGGTCGGAATTTCGACAGTTACTGAAAAATCGTGTACGGATAATAACCGGATATTCACAAGCAAACTTGATTGGCTCTTGTATCGATCACCATGCTAACACGTCGCGACGTGGCGGCAGTGGCCGGGACTCTGGCGGCGGTGGCAGCGTATTCGTACCTATCCAAGTACATCGTGCGATGGAGAGGTGCAGAGTGCCGCAAGAAAAACCGCCTCGAAGTCGAGGAAGCGCACAGCGAAGACATGGATCACTGGTGACAAGCGTCTGTGAACGAATTGGCCTGCTCAAACGACTTCTAGCGACGACAGCATTCCTCGCCGTATCCGCAAGGCTGAAACAGGTACGTCACCCCCGTTTTGCCCAATATCGTTCGCACCTATGCACTCATGTAACGTAGTTCTCCAACGCCGCACAGCACGCATTCTGCTTGTCCTGGAATCGAGCTGTGATATGTTCAACCAAATGGCTGTACTGCGAACTGGTACACTCCATATCTGACTCCACTAACATTTGTGCTTGACGAAGTGCATCCTCGCTGGCTAGCCGAATGCTTTGGCATTCAACACGTGTGGATTGTTGAGCCCGCCTTCTACAAACATCACAAGGCCGATCGCTTAATTGCACGGGTACGCCTCCCATGTCCCAGGTCGAGACCGGTCGATTGACATCAATAGCACTGTAGGAAGCGACGGACTGGCTGTCCATTCGTAGGTTCAAGACATCCTCTGCATGCATCACTGCCCTTAGAGAATCCGGCTACGACGTATCACAATATCGCTATCGAGCACGAGGTCTCACTGCACGCGCATGATCTACTACTGTACATAGATTTGGACAACGGAGCTGAGTCAGGAAGCCGTGTCGTTGGAAGCACCAGAGCTCAAGCTCCCCGACCGCGTCGCCATTGTCATGGGTCGCGAAGCGGACGGTGTTAGCCAGGTACCGCAATCTAACATCCCATTGCACCGTCAATCATTTTCGATTGCTTTAGGAAATGATTGCTGCTGCCGACAAACGTGTATACTTGCCGATTCATGGGTTTGCCGACTCGTTGAACTTGAACGTGGCGACAGGGCTGATCATTCAGCGCCTCTTCTTCATTTGCCCTGAAGCTCGCGGTGCTATGACCAAGACTGAACGCTCCGAACTCCGCGAAGACTGGTACCACCGAATGGTCAAAGGCGACGAGAAGGCCGAGACGTTCTTGGCTAATCCTCCTCCTGCATATGCCGACCTCCGACGTCCAGACGACCACCGAGGAGCATGGATGGGCAGCAAGACGAAACGAAAGATCAAGGAGCGCGAAGCTCAGCTTAACGAGGAGGCCTAACTCGAGCATACCTAGCGGTATGCACCGACAATTTATGCCGCAGCTTACTTTCCAACGGCATTCAATTTTATCCCGGATAAATCGCTTCTATATCCGTACTTCTTGACCCAATGAACGTCTTGGCACGTTCGCCAACCCTTTTCACACGAAAGAGCGTCGATGGTGCTGATGTCGCGGATGCGGCACGTCGTGCAACGTGTATCGCGGCCGAAGCGCGTGCTATTTCGCTTCTCGTCCACGAATGCTGCAGCATCGCCCTGCGTAGACGAAGACCTGATTGCCAACTTTCAACAGCTCTTGGAAAAGCGCAAGGTGACGGAAGCCATGCAGATATTCCAGTCGCTCAAGAAACCTCCGACCACAGCGCTTTCTCAGCGTTTGGCGATCATGCTCGCGAAACGAGCGACTTTAAAAGACACGAAGGATGCCATCAATGTGCTCAAGAGCGTCTACATGTACGACATCTTGACATTATGGCTTCGAACGTTGACGAAGTCACTTGTGTTGGTTGCTCTGACCTTGCATGACATTAGGAATCCCGCGCTCAGACCCGATGACATTACAAAATTGGCGTTCATTTTTGTGTCGGATGCATGCTACCGCAACAAAATGATCAAGGAAGCTCTCGAGGTGTGTTGTCGCACTTCTGACACGCACACTACAAAGAGTGACCCGATCGTGCAGGTGACGGAAGAAGCGCACAACTTAGGGATGCGGCTAGACTTGCCAGCTTACAACAACCTCATCAACGCCCTTGTGGACGCCGGTCAGACCGACGAAGCAATCTTGATTCTGCAGGACATTGCAGCAGGTTCGTCCCATCGGTTATTCCCTGCAGCATTCACGTTCTTGCTAGGCGACGTGATTTCCCCGGACGAAACAACGTACGCTGGGCTGGTGAACGCCATCATGTCACAGCGAGAGTTCTCGCAAGCCGTGGAAACCATCAACCAGGCGCGGACATCTGGCGTCAAGTTCTCTGGCGAGGTACGTCGCCTTCATGATGAGGGTATTTTATCAAATTCCATTACTCAGACGTACATGTCGTTTATGGCGACCCTTGCGGACGTCGAAGACGATTCGGACGCGCTGGATCGCCTGCTCTCATACTTGGAAACATCGATGGACGAAGATGGAGTCGAGGTGCGTCGAGTCCACGTCGATTGTTCGATCGAGTTATGAATGCATTGCTGCAGGCATTCGAAGAGTTTGAAAATGCCATGCTAAGTCACGACGAAGACGACGACGATGACGACGACGATGACGACGACGACAATGGCGAAGGGGATAACCTTGACGAAGATACCGACGACAGTGGTAATGCGTTGCATTAAAAACTTGTGAATTAGCTCGATGGCGACCGGAGTCGGTGAGCGTTGCGCAGATCCTGCGTCACTATGCGTCGAGGACCATGCTCTATGATTGCTTTGAGTCCCGCCACCGCCGTTGCATGGTGGAGTTGTGGTGCGAGGAGGCCACACACATCGACGCAAAAGTGCTCGAGGCTCGTCCGCCACCCTTCACTTGACAGCATGCACTACAGAAAGTGAAAGGCACATTCGGTTTGAAGTAGTTTGAAGTACTTGGTCCCAGACGAAGTCGACGCCGTGGTGGGGCAAGAAACTGACAAGTGCACTCTGGACCCATCTACGATCGGCCACTTGCAACCACCCATTCAAGGAAGACGCTCGTACGAGTCAAAAAGGTGCGAGGGCTTTTCGGCACAGTCCAACTTTGAGTTGGTGTATATCTCATCAATGACCTGGAACAGCGTTGAGTGCCGCCGTCCGACTTCCAGCCAGATCTACGAAACCAGGGCACGTTGTGCGGGTGTCCCATGCTAGAGATAAAACCAACGCGCTGGGTGGCTGCGTTGAGTTCGCTTCGGCTGATGGCGCACCGATGGTACGTGTTGAGGAAGACATGCAGGCAAGACACAATCTCGATATCTCTACGCCAAACATGTTAGCGTCGTGTTGGTGCGCTTTATTGTCCAACCGTACTTGGAGTCGAAAGACGGAAAAAGGTGGACGAGGGGCATGGCCAGGTGTAGAAAATGGCTGCTTTGGAGCTTGGTCATGACGTACCACAAGTTGAGGGTGTCACACAGGCGAGACTGGTCCGGAGCGTATACGGCAGCAGTCGGCATGTCTGCGAGGGAGTCCCGCACAAGTCGGAACAGAAGCGATGCGATCGAGGACGACCAAGGCTGCGTTAACGACATGATAGCTTGATTGGCTTGCAAGCGCCACCGAAGGTCCGTGCACTTGTCGGGAACGTAGAGTCGTCGAAACCAGAGCAGCTGACGGAGCTGCATTGGCAGGGACCGTCCATGGCACATGCGGAACAAGTTGACTTCGTCTGCGAGTGCCTGGGAGCGTAGTGTCTTGTCTGCGTCAAGGGGAGAGACCGTGGGCATCTTGGCCACGACTGTTAAAAACGAGGCAGTCGGGGGGAGCACGGGGGTCGACAACGGCAGAGTACAAAAGTGGCCATGTAAGTGCAGGATCGCAATCTGAGCTGCTAGGTCAACGTTTGTCGTACACGGCTGGGCGGCTGCATGTCGAGCATACGATTCTGTCATGCCCTCCTTTAGACGTTGCATGGCGTTGCTTTGAATGACGTTCACCATCTATGTCTTGTTTGTCCAGGTCATCGTAAGCGCAAGAAGGACTTACGTGTGGGGCAAGGAACGTTAGGAGGTCCGACAAGAGCTGCTGCTCGAGTTCTCGTCGAGTATCCTGGGACATAAAGGGCTCCACTAACAGATACCTGTGGGCACGCTCAGCGGGAAAGTACGCTTGTGCAAATGCGTCGCCGCAGAGTGCTAACAGGATCTAACAGATAAAGCGTGATTCCAAGACACGTCGACATCGGCCCGGCGACAAACTTGGAGAGCGGACGGGTTGGCCTTGTACGGAGATACAAACGCATGCATTTGCTCCATGAGAGTACCTTGGATCTACACAAGGACGTCGCTTCTTCCAACACCCTGCATCCTGTTGTACCTCGCTCCATGCAGGATGCGTGACCGCGCTTTGCGCTACCGAAGTCACAGCCAGCATCGCGATGAAACCGCCAAGACAGTGTTTCGCACAAGCGTCCCAACAACCATTCCACCACAGACGAATCGAGAGCTCTCGTGAATGGAATCATGACGCTGCGGCATTCACAATGCGCCGACGAGCTCGTTTGGTCGAACCAATGCACTTTCTCCGAGCGCACATCCAACAGACCATCAGTCGAATATTCACGTAGGTCTGCGCATGCTCGATGCATGTTTTCTCGAGAAACCTGCGGCAGGCGAGCGATTCAGGACGAGGGTCGGCCTCGTCCAATCTCGTACAGACTGCGACACATGCGCCATTGTCGAGTGAAGGTCCAAGGAATGCAGGTCCTGGCGGAATCGTCGCTCCACTGTCAAACTTTCGATGTGGATGCGTCACTCGGACCTCGCGTCATGTCTGAAGCGCCCACCCACGACTCCCATCGCTGCCCGCGACGTGTTCCCGCCCGAGCGACAGATCTTGGCCCTCGTTCTTGACAACGTTCTCTCGCCCCTCGAGTGCGAGGCGCTGATTCGACACAGCGAAATCACAGGATACGAGCCAGCGTTGCTCAATATTGGCTACGGACGGCAAGTCCTCCGTACAGACGTTCGCAACAACGACCGATGCATCATCGACGATGTGGTCGCAGCAACTATTCTGTGGGAACGTGTGCAGCCGTATTTGCCAGACACCTACCGTGGCAAGCCGTTTGCAGGCGTCAACGAACGCCTTCGATTCCTCCGGTACTACCCCGGCCAAGAGTTCAAGCCGCACTATGACGGCACGTATCGCCGACCTGATGGAAGCGAGCAGTCGTATTTGACCATTCAAGTATACCTCAATGGCGGCGACGACTTGCAAGGCGGCGACACGATCCTTTTCGATAGGAAGGGTGACGTTCACATCCATCCAGTGCCCGGCCGGGTCCTCATCTTCCAACACCTGAACGTAGAGCACTCTGGTGCTCCCGTCGTCAGCGGTGTCAAGTACACGATTCGATCGGATATCATGTGCACGAGGAGCAAGGTCGAGTAGGTTCGGCAGCACGACCTGTACATTCAAATTCCAGAGCAAGTGTTGGACTGCAAGATTGTCATCCCGCACACGGTCCATTCTGCGGTCATACTTGGATTCCATGTCGGCACACACTCTTGTGCTGTTGTGGTGCTCAGTTCATTCAGCGGGGGGGGGGGTACAGCCACCACCATTTCCTTCCTCGTGAAAGCCCCCTCCCATTCCGTCACGATCCAATTCTTCACTTATCCACGCTCGCGCCAAGTAGATGCATGACTTACGAGGACATTGCATCGATATCGCGAGAGCTTCCCGTACCAGAACGCATTCACGTCGCTACAGATCACTGCCAATGGTCGGCACGAGAAGGAACCCGTTCTCATTGAGGTAGCTTCGTGCGGCAGCCGGAGCCAGGCCGCAGGACTTGGAATCAATCTGGGTCGAGCCATTCCGCTCAATGGCAGCATGTCCCACGCGGCGGAGTGACGATCCGGATACGTCATATCCGTATATGTGGCGAGGGGAGTGTTTCGGCCGTTTCTGGCTTTGCGATTGATATCCTTGGTGATCTTGCGCGGCAACGGAGACGGGATGCAGCAAGGCAACTTTGGGAGCAACAATCGGTACGGATCGGGGTTGCAGCAGCAGCAGCAAGGAGGCGGCAATTTCCAGGTGTACGGGGGCATGAACCCGGGTGGTCCTCCACTGGGAGGACAGGTCAACACTGGGCAGCAGCTGGCAGCGCAAGGGATAGTGTGGACCCCGCCATCACCCCAGGAGAAGCAATACTACGACATGCTTTTCCAAGTAGCCGACGATGAGCACACTGGCTCCATCGGCGGTCGCAGCGCTGTCATGTTTTTCACGAAGTCTGGGTTGGACAAATCCATTCTCCGCGAGGTGGGTTGAATGCAAGTGTACGCTGTCTCAAGACCCCTGCTTCACATTGGATGCAGGTGTGGACCATTGCAGACTCGCGGCAGACGAGTTTCCTTCAACTGAATGACTTTTATGTCGCCATGAGGTTGATCGCGATGGCACAACACGGCCATCCCATGACCTTGACCCACTTCTACGCGCTTGCAGCCTCGCCGTTTGCGCTGGCGCGGCTCGAAGGCGTCCCTCCCCCTCAAGTACAACAGCAGCACCAATCGCCAGCTCCTCTTGCGACATACTCCATCACAAGCGACGAAAAGACCAAGTATCAGACCATCTTCGCCCAGTACGACACGGACCACGATGGGTTCCTCCTCGGCCAGGACGCCGCTGCGCTCTTCCAGATGTCGGGCATGGATCGCAATGTACGAAATGCAATTATGAACGTTCACTTGATATCCATGGACGTAGGACCTCCGGACAATCTGGGCACTCGCCGATCGGACGTCCGACGGTCGGTTGGACTTGACCGAGTTTTACATCGCGATGCATTTGATTGTGTGTGTGACGAAGCGAGGGATGGTACTGCCCCAGACTCTTCCATTGGAACTTGAGCAGTCGTTGCGATCGACCGGATCGTTTTCACAGTCGGGGTCGGGTCACTTTTCAACAATCCACCAGGCCATGCCGCAGCCTCCAGCCCCGCCGCAAGGCATGTCTGCGTTTGACGAGCTAGAGTCCCCAGTGTCTGCTGTACCGACAGAGCAGCCAACCAGCGGGTTTGGGCAGGGAGATCGATCGAGTGGTACTTTTCAACATGCCCCCTTTGCATCACCTGGAGGTCCTGCCACTACCACCGGTGGGCTCAACGCATCCGAGAACGGGACGCAAAGCCGTGGCTCAATCGCAGGTGGGAGTTTTGGCAATGCTGCTGACTCTTCCCTACGCCAAAGCAGCTGTGGGAATCAACCGTGTCTTGTCGGTGCTGGTGCAATGGGCCAGCCATCCAATTTTGGTAGCCAGCACCCGAGTGGCATCCCGCCTTCTTCTGCTTTTGGTAGCCAGCGCCAAGCCAGCTTTGGGTCCCCCGCCTTGGATGGATGTAGCAAGCAGGCCCCGCAATCCAACAGCATTGGTGCGCCAGCCGCGCCCTCGGCAACGGGCAAAACTATATCCCGCCAATCCAGCTTTGGAAACTCCACGCCGGCGGCAATGGATGGGTTTGGAAAACAAGCCACCCACACAAACAGCTTCGGTGACTTTGGTGTTTCGTCCGTTCCGGCCCCACCGCTTGCTCCTCCGCCTGTGTCTAGCTTTGCCAGCAATTCACGACAAGCGAGCTTTGGGGCGCAATCGTCGAGCTCAGTGTCTTCCGCGATGGACGGGTTCGGAAAGCAAGCGCCTCACTCCAACACCTTTGGTGCCTTTACAACCACTCCGCAAAGCAATCCATCCCCTCTGAGTGCAGGATTAGAATCTTCCAAGGGTGCGAACTCGTTGTGTGACTTTGGCTCACCGTTGACGACGGCAGTGCCACCTCCTTCTGGAGTTGGCAGTGTGACGGCGCCAACAAGCCCTGGTGACTTTGGAAACTTTGGAATGGCTGCGCCTGGAGCTCCTGCCACGACTGGATTCGGTAGCACTTCTGGCCAACAAACTGGAACGGTCGGGGCTTTCGGTGTTAACTCGCCAGTTCTAGCTCCAAAGTCATCGAGTGTCGTAGCTTCTGGCTTTGGAAGCACTTCGCACACCCGACCGGATGAATTTGGAGACTTCAGTTTGCCTCCAGCACCGTTAGCAGTGGCGCCACCACCGACTTCCAGCTTTGCCAGCATGACACCACCTAGCAAATCAACCGACCTCGCTGCTTCTACATCTCAGTTCCAAAGCAAGGGGCCTCAACAACCTGTGTCTGGCGACAATTTTGGCGACTTCGGGCACGCTGCCGCCCCTTCCACTACTGCCACGCAACCGCCTGTAGCCTCTGGGTTTGGCAGCGTTCCGAATGCAGCTCCGTCGTCGTCTGTATCGACTGCATTCGATGACTTCGCATCGCCGACGAATGCATCTGAGTTTGGAGACTTCAGTGGCGCGTCGACGTTCTCCCGTTCTGGTGGAGAATTTAATGCTTTTGGAGCATCAACCCAAGAGCCTTCGTCTGTCTCTTCTAGCTTTGCCCAACCGTCGAATGACTTTGGCGGGTTTGGTATCTCGCCCCCGTCAACATCGTCACAAGTGGTTGCCGCATCAGTCACATTTACCAGCAACAAAGCCAGCAGTGTCCCTACACCCCCTGCGTTTGGAAGCACCCAGCCCGAGGCAAAGGTCTTTGGAGAGTTCTGCGCGACTTCAGCGACCCCCGCCAGCTTTAGTTCGAACAAAATCACGTCCGGCTTTGACGATTTCCCGTCGCCAACTAACTCGTCTGGCTTTGGCGACTTCACGTCGTCATTCCCGCCAGCCCCGGCATCGGATTTTGGGGATTTTGGTTCAAACCCTGCGCCAACGTCCTTTGGACGCAACCTGGCCCCGAGTGTCAGCGACTTCAGCCTTTCGTCTCCTGCAGCAAATGCATTTGCCCCAATCTCCTCGACGCCGTCTTCTTCCGCACCTGGAGACATTGCCCACCGGCCATCGGACGTTGCCGGTTCATCCACCGCCGCTCCATCATTGAGCAGCGGTTTCGAAGACTTTCCATCTCCCATCTCGACAACTACGTTTGAAGGTTTTGGGTCGACGAAGCAGACTGAATCGCCTGGATTTGGTCGGCCTTCGGGTGGTTTTGGCGACTTTTCTGCCGTACCAACCGCGGTCGCGCTTCCATCGTCCAACTCTGAACCACTGCTTGATTCCCCACCCGAGAACGCTGCTGCCGCGACCGCGCGTGAGCTGGACGCGGCGAATGCAAGCCTTCTCCGGTCGCTGACTCAACTTGCTGTATCTCAAAAGAATGTCGTCCAGGTTGCCCACATCCAGCACTTGGCAACCAACCTCCTGCGACTCACGGCCCAACGCGATCAACTCCGCGCCGCACAATCGACCGACCCATCGTTGGCCTTGACGATACAGCGCCTGATCGACGACGAGCGCGCATTCATCAGCACGACGTCGCAAGTCCTCCAAGAACTCGAGCAGCAGCAAAAGCAACAAAAAGCACTGTCGAGACAACCGTCGTCATCGTCGAGCCATTCGACGGGAAACTCTGGATATGGAGCGTTTGAATTCTAATACGAGTCCGTGTCACCTGAACGCGTCGTCGTCGTCTTCGTGATCGTTAGAAACAGTGGCGCGGGTGCGGCGCGAAAATCGTCGGGACGGGTGAACATGATGTGAAGTCTGGAGGATTGCAATCGTTCTGTCGAAAGCAGCGTTTTCCGCTCGGATCGTGGCGACGGCTGCTCGGAGTCGCGTCAAGACAGCGGCGTCTGTGATTGAGTGGCTCTGACTGTCCACGGCTGCTTTCGTGGTGGTCAAGGCGGTTGACGTGACATGGAAGGATTCAAAGAGGGCGACTCGGGTGCCCTCCAGCGACCGCAGGACCCCTTCCAAATGCGTTTGGTGGACTTTTCGCACATGATATTGGTCTCTCCAAGTTGTACACGCGGTCGTTCCATTGAGCTGGCTTTCCTTGAGTGCAATCACTTCGCGGTCTTTTGCGAGTGTCTATGCATGATCGTTAGAGGCCACGATCGACATGCTTAGGCACGTACGGCCACGAGGGTCTTCAGTCGGGTGGACGCGTCTGCCGCCCCGGTTACAATGACGTCTCCCTCCGACTTCCATTGCTCGTATCGATACCTCCAAGGGCTCCCGTCATACCGTGACGCGGCCGAGTTGGCGCGAATCGTTGGAACATTGCGTTGTATTTCAGCTCTCCACAGCGTTGCGTTGATGGGAGTGGGGCTAAGAGGATGAAAGGGGGCGTGAACCAACAGAGCTTCGGGCTCATGGCGAATGGTCTCGACAAAGTGGTCGTCATCGTTCGTGCCATCGTCCCTAGCCATGCTGTCAGCTCGACAACTCCAGCCCATCTCGATGGTACATGTCGTTGGATTGTGTTGCGGCATCATCCACCCATTCCACGCTGTCACCGTCGTGTTTGTTCATGGAAACGTCGTCAGCACTCGACGGTCGCATGACGCATTTGAGTGGCCGATGAGCATTCAATACTGCATCGCACACTCCATGAAGCAAGGTGCACACGTCTGCCCCAAAGCCGCCGATGAGTGCGGACGGCGTCATGGCTTGTGTGTCCACCCCGGCCAGACCAACAGCCACGAGAACAGCCGAGGCCTTCGTCAGAGGTGGAACCATGTCGTCCGCGAGGTCCACGTCCGTCGGAATTTGGGGAATAATACGCTGCAGAAGCCAATGCACGATCATCATAAAGATCGAGAACTACTTCACCATCAGCAACACGCAAGAACCATGGACAAGACCTGCGTGTGGCGTCGTGGGGCAGCCGTTGCGAAATAAATACGTGGCAGGCGGAGGTGCGAGGCCTACCTCCAACATCGTTCTGAAAAAAGGACGACATAGGACATCGTACGTGGAAGGGATAGCCCAGCAGGACAAGTTTGTCGTGAGCTAGCTCACTCATGGCAAACGCGCGGCTCATGTCGACCGTCGACTCGTTTTTATTGGATCCTCCCGATGCCTCGATTGTCGAGGGCGTGCCAGGTGTGGTCTCCCGACTGTTGATCGCGTTTCTGTCGGTAGTGAACTGGTTGTTGGAAGAGGACGAGATCGGGCGGTCTCGTGGGACGGTATCAGTGGGTTCGACGTTGGTGGCGGCAATGCGGCACAGATGCGCCAGAGTGGGTCGATCGTTGGAGTTGAGAGATAGCATGTGCGCGACGAGGGACCGAAGCGTCGTGCTGTACACGTCTGATATGGGGTCGTACTCGCCCTTGTTCACCTACATCGGTCGAATGGAGCGTTCTCTGGTACGAATGGAACTTTGTTACCTTTTGGAAGAGGCCGTACAAGTTGAGACCTTCCGACTTGAACGGCGATCGCAGCATCGCGAGCTCGTACAAGATGCAACCCAAACTCCAGACGTCGCATTTCCAGTCGTAGCCGTCGCCGCGCAACACCTCTGGTGACATGTACAGCGGTGTACCGACCTTCGAGTGTGCTTCCATGGTGTTTTCGCTCAAATATCGTCCCAACCTAAAACTCGTGAGACGACCCCTTATCGAACGAGGTTCATGTGTACCCCAAGTCGCCAACTTTGACTGCCCCGGACAGCGTCAAGAAGATGTTGGCTGGTTTAATGTCACGATGCATGATCCGATGGGCATGCATATGGTGAATGGCAGCACATATCTGGCCAAAGTACGTCCAGATCGTGTGTTCGTCGAAACGAGCATGCTTCTCGTTCGCTTTCCGAATCTATTCAAAGCACTCCATGGGATGAAAAGTTGGGTGTGGATGCGAGTGAGATTGACGGGGAGGGACGCGCTACCTGACGCTTGAGATCCCCGGCTTCGGCCCACTCAAACGCGATGCAGAGTTCGTCGTCTTGTCCGATGAACGCATCCAGGTACTGAATGATGTTGGGGTGGTGCACAGACTGCACAAGCCGCACTTCCTTGAGCGTCTTTTCGCGGGCCTTGACGTCCATCAGGTTGAATATGTTGACCTTCTTCAACGCGACGAGGACTTCGTCGCACCGCCTCTTGGCGCGGTATACGACCGAGAACTTGCCTTTCCCAATTGGTTTGACGATGTCATAGTCTGCGAGTGATCCTCCAGATCGGAAGAGCTCGCGCTGGGCATCACTCAGCTTGTCCATGCGCCCCCGCTCTAGACCGTCGCTGGAAGATACACTGACGGTTTCGACCGACACACTAAATTCATGCGAGCCCAAGTTTTTGCATTATTGCACTACAGGTCGGGCACTTGGCTGTAGTCGTCGCCGCTGCCATCGTCCGAGCTCACTGTTGAACGTCAGGTCGATGAGTTCTTCCACTCAGAAGAAGGATTTTACCTTCGACATACCCGGCATCGTTCTCGACAGGAAATGACGTCGAATGGCACACATGGCGGATGATTGTACGACAACAACATTCCACTTGACGCCGCTCACTGGCGTCCAGCGCTTGTCGGAGCTTATGCAGTTGCTCTTGATATTGCATCTAAGGGGTTTAAGACACGAGAGGAAGGTTCCGATTTAGAGTCTTCGGTCGTACATGCAGCTGCATCTCTCTCGACTCGAGCAATCTCTGTGTAGCATCATCTTTGTCCGTCACTCGCGTCGTGGTCGTACTGGTTTGAGTGGCAGCGTCCGTCATGGTGATGTTGGCTTTCAACTTGCCGTGTGTCGGACCGTCGGAAGGAGGTCGAATGGGCACCTTTTTGCACCGAGCGGCAAATTTCAACGTACTCAGTGTCTCGCCGAGGCTTTCGGGCGCAGAATCGACGGTTGCAATCACCAGCGTGACATGACACCCCCCCAGCACCCCCTTCAATAGTTTTGTCAACTTGGATTCCCGACACCTCGATAGAAGCTGCTTCTCAGGTTGGGACAGCGCTGCAATGACGTTGCCGAGGGCAGACAGCGACGAGTTGATAAACTTGGCTTCGTTCAGGCGCTTCTGCGCTCGCTCACGAGCGGCAAACGAATAGTCCACATGATCGTGGGCGGAAATACCAAATGCAGTCGCAGCGGTTGGTCTCTCGGAGCCAGCTAAGTCGACCAGCGACAACGTCGAGGTGTGGTGGCCGTGTTCTCGGGTCAGCGAGATCTTTAGCAACGTGTGGCTGCGAGACGATGTCGGATTTCGCGCCGTGGAGGCGAGCGATCGGTTCATCATGGCCACTCCAATTAGTCCATGCTAAACATGCCCGCCAAGGGTTATGTCATGACCATGCATGCTAACGCACCGCTTCGTTCAAAGATCCAATGTCGTACGATTGTAACCCGTCCACATAAAACGCGGTACCGTCGGAGGTCGGGCGCACCGGCAACTCGACGCTTCCATGGCTTGACGGCGGCACCAAGAGATCCTACGACTCATTCGAAAGACAACTCGTCAACACTTGACGGGCCGTACATATACGTTCTCCATGTAAATTTGCAGAAACGAGACAGAGACCCGAAACCCTGGAGCGTCGTGCTCGATGGCGGAGAAGATTTGCTCAAACACGCGTGGGATGATGCCAGCTTGGTGTGGTGGAAGAGTCGCGTCCAGAAACCCCATTGTATACGTCTTCCCTGTCCCTGTCTGGCCGTAAGCCATCACGGTGCCATCATGCCCTTTCAACTGCATCTCGTCAGCATAGACTAGGTACAACGAGCATTACGCACGACGTGTTGGACGATGGGGAACAATGCGTCTAGGTACAAGCGCTCTTGCGACGCCGACGGCGGCCACACGTAGTCGAACCCAAACGAGCGCTGGCTGTAGTGCCGCCCGGGAGCCACATGTACAGCGTGTGAGGCAAAGCGCAATGCAGGCGCAAACTGGCTGTTCCATGGAACTTCGTGCTCGAATGGCGGACGACATCGCAGCCCGACCAGGATCCGAGCGGCGCTGTTCGCCATAATTTACATTGAAACTGCCAAAAGACTCGAACAGAAAACAAGTAAATATGAACGTTGGCTTATTTGAACTCGCCCCAGTCTTCATCGGAGACCGACGAAGAGGACGCTGAAGGAAGGTTGGACGCCGGTGGCGGCGCGATCTTGAACGCCGACAGGTCTGCTGGTTGTGAGTTCGTCCTCTTGGCATCCGTGGCAGTAAGGTCGGAGACGACGACTTGCGCCTTCCCACCGATTTGTATGCGCAATTTGGCGCCACTAGGGAGACCGAGGTCCTTGGGAGGGTTGACCTTGGATTCGCTTTGCTCCAGCGACAATGTACGCTGCGTGTACTTGGCAAAGTCTTGTAGGGCTGCCTTGAAGTTGAACGCTGCTGACCGTTCGGGCAGGCCAATACCCACGAACGCCTGCCGATTCGAGTTTGCATCGACCACGCGCAGTACAAAGTACCGCGAGGAGTCAATACAGTCTTGAACAAAGACATTCAGCGGGCGCGTGGAGTCGATTTCTACAGGGCACTGCGCGAAGATAGTTTGGTTGGGTTCGTACAGATTGACAAAGCATCGATCGTTGATTTGGACGACGCGCAGCGACCCGGTCATAAGAGGCTTCTCAACGTCCCATTGATCGGCGCGCGGGTCGCCTGTGAGCAGCGGCACCTTGTAAATCCACACGTTCTTCTCATGGAACAGCGTTTGCTCCGTCCCCACGGCTTCCATCTTGAACGTGCTCTTTTGTGAAAGAAATGAAGGGTGATGAAACTGTGAAAGTACATATTCCGTTGAAATATGTGTGCTTTTTATTCGTTTTGAGAATATGCTTTGACTTGATAATTGTATTCGACTTGAGTAGAGTCGAACACAAATATCAAGTCAAAGATTATACAGGAAACAAGTATGGGAGGTTTTTGGATTCGAATTTTCGACGTTGAAGTTTTAGCATTCGAGATTGTTGCTGCATGTCCAGCGAAGTATGGCGAGGGAGACGACGATCGAAGCCAAGCCGCAGACCCTAAACGGTGATTATAAGGCAGGTCTAGCGTAAACGAATGCAACTGGACCTCAGCACAAGCTTAGATCAGTGAGCGAGCTGTCGCATCTGTCGATGAAATGCTGCAGAAGGACAATGATGACAAAAGTCTTCAGCGCTACAAGGAGAATCTGTTGGGCGCTGCAATCCAAGGTGACCTTGGAGGTAACATGCTGACCTCTCATCCTTGACTCAATGCGAATTGACGCATGCCGTAGATGCACAGGACCTTCGTCGTGTCGTAATCCTGCAGTTCAAGGTGTTTGAGAGTGGCGTGTGGCATGCTAAAGCAGTACTAGGTGATTGTTGAAGGCAATCAACAAGACTTCACGTATCACCTCGACACGGAAGAAGGCCTCCTACACATTCGGAACACTCCGTTCGAATTGGAAGAGGGAGCAAAGTATAAGTTTGCCATCAACTTCCGTGTGAATCGAGAGATTGTCAGTGGGTTGCGCTTTCACAGCAAGGTCCGCAAGCATGTCTTCTCGACGCGTGAAGAAGTGGTACTGGGCTCATTCGCCCCTCGGTCAACCACGTACGAGTTCTTATTTCCTCGACATGAGTGGTCCGAGGCCCCTTCTGGACTCTTGTACCGCGGCACCTACCACGCTGAGTGCAAGGTATGTCTGCCTCCTTTGACTAGGGGAATAACTTGGAATTTAGTTCGTCGACTCAGACAACGTCGAGCACCTCTGCTTTCCATATTCCTTTGGTATGCCAGTATGGTGTGTCTTTATGTGCTCACCTCATCGTAGCAATCAAGAAGGTGGCGTAGGAACAAGGGCAACATTGTTTGATGCGTGGTGTGTGTGATGTAAAAATCCTCTCTTAAACTTGATCTCATTAAGAAAAATAAAATAGCCCAGTTTCAAATGTAAAAAAATAGCCCAGTTTCAAATGTAACGGTCGAACACGCTGGACGAGCCATTTCTCAATATTTATCGTCGGAGGCAATCGATTCACGCAATGGCAACCGAGAAAGGACATGCAGAAAGCACAAGACAAGGGCGACCAGAGTATGGACACCTTGATGACACTCCATGGTCGTTCACCTACTCACCCACAATGTTGTCGCTAGGTCGTTCTATTCCCCATCATGGTTCCACTACCAAGACTTGGAGTCCCATGTCGATTTCTTCGTCGATGCTGTGGAGTACGACATCTTTTTGAGCACGTATAGGGTCAATGACCCTCTTCTTCGCATCGATCGGGGACATCGCAGCTCTCGCTCTCCATCAAGGCGGCAAAAACCCGACAGACGATCCAAGTCCCTTCCTTCAATCAATTTATCCATCTTGCACCATACTTTTGGAAGAGTGAACTTTCACCTTCAGCTGAAAGGCGCCACAAGACTTCGTTCACTTGATAATGTACCAGGCATCACGGGTAAAGTCAAGTTGTATAGTATTCCTCTGCTTGAAAGTCCACCCCATCAGCAAGAACACAGCCCTGGTGGACCAACAAATACCGACGAGGTCAATCGCGACCTTGCTCAACCCATTCCTCACCCAACACTTAAACGTTTGAAGAACTCCGGTTTTTATCACACTCAAGCACGACGCCATCATGAATACATGAAGGCGCTGTACGATAGGCATACGAGGAGTTACGCCATGGACATGCACCACTTGCAATCAAGACTGTACTGCCAAACACTTGAGTTTCATCGCGCGTGCAACGAATTTACACCCGATTGCAAGTTCCAGCGAATTGTCAATTCTGCACATTACATGAGAGCAATGGCGTTTCCACAGTCATGCCAGTGCAGTAGGGTCGGAGGTTATCGCAAAACCACCACGGCATGCCATCTCAACACGACGTTAGCAGAAGTGGAAGTTGTTGGCGTCGACCAAACATGTCATGACAAGGCCCCTGCTCAACAACCGCTTCCAAGGTTTAGCTGAATAAAGTATGACGAGCCAAACTGAATGTGTGTTAGCCACCAACGGAAGAGCGAATCCAAGATAAGTCGCCTTCGGAGGCATTCGCGCAATATAGCCGACGTGAAAGTAGGAATGGACTTTCCTTGGGCAAAAGTCCAACATGGCCACATTCAGTCGCTCCTCGGCCACGACCAGCGCGACTTTTTGTCGCCTCGACATGAAGTGGTGGCGTTTACTCAAACTGGCCTGCATGTGCAAGGCGAAAACGCGACTATTCCGACAAAGCGCGTGCCTCCGGGAAGGAAGGAACCACGTCGACGCCGTGGCAAGCCAGGCAAACCACAACCGACAAGTTGTACGGAACTCCAACAAAGTGATCCTTTCAAGCAGCCCTCGGCGTTTCCCAATGCATTATAGTGGTGATATTATCCGCCTTTGACTAACCTCCTCCAAGCGAAACATTTTGATGTCATTTCATGCTCTTGAATAAACGACTCAGCCGAGTCCTCCAAAGACACTGCGCGTGAGGGCTTGAACTGTGTGCGACGGCAGGTGCCACGTCGGAACGTTTAGTTGGGCTTCAAGGATTTCCCGGGCAACTCTACTTTCAAGTCAGCGACACACTTTCGAAACACACCCGATGGCTGACCTTTGCATCTGCTGCTGTGCGAATCGGTACAGATCCTTTCCCGTGACCTTGCATTTGACAGCAAGATGGTCAGGAGACACGTGCCATTGCGAACGGCACAATGAAAGCCACAACTGATCGTTCTTTGACAACTCGTGCAGAGTACGACACGCTGTCCCAGCTTTGATGAGCGATATGCCGTCGAGGTAGCTCAGGACACTCAAGATGCAATGGTCGCCGATGGATCCAAACAGACTCAAGTTGGGAGTCAAGTAGGCTGGATTGACGTAGTACTCAATCGACGGCGCACTATACTTCACGGGGCAACGACGCACCACCATCGCTCGGGACGTGATGTCGTCGGCCTCGTCGCTCATTCGCAAGATATGCTCTCTTTCTGGAATGAGCCATGTCTTTGAATGCACTACTAGAAGTACTACTCTATGTACTGTAGTATCTACTACTCGGAGTGTACGAGAATGGTATTTCAGCTTGGAGGGACAAACGACCTTGGCTTCGACTCTCGAGTGGTGTTAACGAGATGCATATCGTATTCACGACAACGAATTAGGCATTGTGCGGCATTGGGGCCACTCTTGCGTGGGCGACGGGACGTTGAAGTGTGGTTTGAAGGGAAAGCAGGCATTGCTCCTGGAGCATGTGCAGTGTCAGCCTACGGCATCACTGTAACGAACATGTGGTAAATGATAGCTCGACGTACGCGCGCATGGACTGGGTTGCAAAAAAGTATAATTCCTTGCCACCGAGAGGGTCCTGTGTCTTGGAGAGATGGTGAGGGCACACACCCCACTCCGCGCGACACGCTTGAAGCCACATTGCGTCGTCACTTGCCATCCACCGCAAGTGCTTGCACACTTGGCTGGCAGCGGCGAGGGACCGACCGTCGAGGTAATTTAGCACGCGCTGCACGCTCTCGTCATTAATGGACCCGAAAAGACGCCAATTTGCCAAAGTGTGTCGTGCCGCTGCCACGGGATTCAGCACGATCCATTCCCTTGGCAGCTCGTCAATGCTGTCCTGTGAATGGGTGCGGCGTTGCTGGCGCATGCTTGATCGAAATCTTTAAGTGTGTTGTAGAACACAGCAAGACAACTATTTTTGGCGAATGCTTGCGTAGTCGACTATTTTTATGCCAACGAAGTGGTTTGTTCCTTGTTGTTGGAACTGCTTTACCTGCCCCAACCGGGGCATGCACTCGAGTCGAGCGCTGACGAAACGTGCCGTTTTGGACTTGCTCGTTTTCGCCTCATGAGGTGGACTCAGTTTAAACTTTTTTGCCAATGGCCTCCGCGCCTGTATACAATCGCCACGAGGAATTTGCCTTCACGACTGCAGGGGCCCATGGCAAACTCACGACAATGCCGCCTAGTGTCCGTAATTAACAACCTTGACAAGGAAATAGTCACCACAATCGCAAACGAACGTCGTAAGTAGAGGGTTTTCTTGCAAGATGCCACGAATTGCCGATTGATTCAAGCGGGTCGCATTTCCAAAACCCAGTGTGTGGAATTGAAAGATGTGGACCATACCTACCCACTTGAACGCGACAACAAGAGGACAAAGGCGTTCACCCAAGGGAAGTGAAAGGACACGATGAGCGAGTGCACCAACGACTCGTGCTGCAAGAGTGGGTGGCTCGACAGTCTCAGGAAATAAACAGGGGTCATCTGATGTTTACGTGGTGAGAACTGCTTGACTAGCCGTCCGTGTTGGCAATGCACTTGTTTACAACATTCAAAAGATGTGCGTTCTCGAGCGCGGCAGCCACGCGTTCCTTGTCGTTCAGTTGCTTGTTGACTAGAAATGAATAAAAGAGGAAGTTAGCATTGGCAAGGACGGTCCACGAACCACGTACTCGCATCCTCTGTGATGTGAGTTCCCGGGGTAATGCGAATGTCGACTTTGAAGCGCTTAGGCAATGACCTCAAGAGTTTGACACGGATGCACAGCCCAATCAGTGTCGCCATGCTATCCAGGAAACGTCAGCAACATGGGCTTAGTTTCGACAATGGCAAGGTCCATACCTGCAATGCGGGATGGTCGGCGTGAACTGCACCTTCACTTGGCTCTCAACGTTGTTTACAACAATGTTGTCCAGTGTCATCACTTTCAGTTGCTCCAAAGTCAATGGGTGCTCGGGGTCGTTCAAGTGCCTCAGCATTTCTAGCATCCAACAGCACTGAGCATGTCATGCACTTGTCATCACACCATCGTACCAAACACTTCCAGGGCGTCAAACGGGTCGACAATATCATTGTCTTCATCTGCGGTGGAGTCGGCTACCTTCTTGCGCTCCGTTCCGCTGGTGTCGACGGCGTACACAGTCGGGTTCGCGTTCTGCTTCTCGACCCCCATGGCTTCTTGTAGTACACGTACTTTCAAGTTAAAGCATGAACCAATCCGCAGCCTTTTCCAATAATATTTTATCCAATCGTATTGGAGCAGTATATATATGGAAATATGTATGCCACTGCAGAACGGGATTCCATTGGCGGTTGGATTTCCACTTTGGTTGGTGCGAAGTTGAATTTGAGATGCGGCTCATTCATCCAATATGCCGAAGGAAAAGAAGCCGAAGCGTGCGTGTGCGCTGGAAAAGCAGCTCGCCTACGATGCAAAGCCCAAGTACAAGAACAAGGCCAACAAGGCGTCAGAATCGGATGACTCGGACAACGAAGGCGATGCGTATGTACCTCGTAAACTGACCAGCAAGACGTTGGCCATGGCGCGTGCACAGCAAGCGGAGGAAGCCGAGGCGTTGTACCGAAGGCAGCGAGCTCAAGCTCCTGCGAAGATGAGCAATTTGAATATCGACAGCGACGACAGCGATGACGAAGACGATGATGGTGGCTTCGACGACATGGTCGATGACGACGTGGAGGAACTTGTCCGTTTGCAAGACGGCTATGTGGAAGATGTCGAGATCTGCGAAGAGGACGAGCAAGTGTTGGCAAACTTTTTGATCGGCGCGCCCGAACGTCGTAACCTCGCCGACATCATTATGAGTAAGATCCACGAAAAGGAAGCCCGTGACCAGGGCGACGAGGGCGAGACCATGTCCCACACGGGTGCCAGCGGCCAGACCTTTGACCCCAAGATCATTGAAGTGTACACGGGCGTGGGCAAAATTTTGCAGCGTTACACAAGCGGCAAGCTGCCCAAGGCGTTCAAAATCATTCCGTCGTTGAGCTACTGGGAAGACATTTTGTGGATGACCCAACCGGAGAAGTGGTCGCCGCACGCGATGCGCGCTGCCACGCGACTTTTCGCATCGAACTTAAACCCGAAGATGGCCCAGCGATTCTTCAACATCTTTTTGTTGGAACATTGCCGTCAGGATATTCGGGACAACAAGCGCCTCAACTTCCACTTGTACATGGCGCTCAAGAAGGCGCTGTACAAGCCCCAAGCGTTCTACAAAGGCATCATTCTCCCTCTCTGCGAGTCCCAGAACTGCACGATCCGCGAAGCTGTCATCATTGGATCGACTCTGTCCAAAGTGTCCGTTCCTGTGATCCACTCGGCCGCGACGCTAATGAAGTTGGCCGAAATGCCGTACTCGGGTGCCAACAGCGTGTTTATTCGCATTCTGCTGAACAAGAAGTACAGCCTGCCCACGCGGGTCATTGGCGCGCTCGCCTCCCACTTTGAAGGGTTTATCGACGACACGCGGGAGATGCCGGTGTTGTGGCATCAAGCCCTCCTCGCGTTTGTCGAACGCTACAAGAACGACATCTCCAAGGACCATCGCGAACGCATGAAAGTGCTGTTCAAGACGCACGTCCACCACCAAATCACGCCCCTTGCTCGAAGGGAATTGTTTAACGAATAAGTATCATAATAGATTGCCACGTCCTGGCGCCTCCGTCAGCGGCACCACCTACCTCTTCTTGCACACACACCCTGCACATGATGCAAGAGGCTGTGGCGTTCGGACAAACTCGGGCGCAAAACACCCATCCATAAACCTCCCGTGAGTCGAAGCAACCACACACCTCCTCCTTCCACTGCGTTGCATGGTGAATGCCTTCGACGATGCAGAATTGATCGAGAAAAATGCCATAGCCGTGCGAATGGGGTCCATCCTCCTGCAGGCGCTGCGCGAACAACCTGTGCCAGGCACCGCCTTCTTGCTCCAACACACCACGTTTTCGAGGATGATTGTGACGTGCATGACGATTGGCTATGATCCCGAATTTCGCACTACTATTGTCTTTATGCTTGTATGACGAAATCGAAGTTTCAGTAGAATCTTCGACCCGATCACGCTGTACTGTACGAATTTTTCACTTTCCTTTCTCCCGTCCCTCGCCTTGCGCGTCGCCCGCATGGAACCTGCGAATCGCCGTCGGTCGTCGAGCGCGCATTTGCACAGCATATCGGGCCAACGCACCGCGGAAACGCGCAAGCAGCCTGCCAAGATGAACACTGTCAACAATGCCTCGTCTGTCTTCGCAGAATTGCGTGTCGTACCCTCGCAGAAACCTGGAGATGAAGATACCCCACCGACGCCGCCACAATCCGTCCACATGGTTCCCCCAGGGTCACTCGTTGATACCAGCAAAAGCATGGACGACACAATGGTGTGGTCGACATGCACACCAACGGAAGTTCCGCACCAGCAACCAGCCGTCATTGAAAGCACGGAACAAAACATCCTGTCCCGCATCTCGACCCTGTCCATCCTTCGGGACCAAGGTTTCATCGATGAAGAAGAGTTCATTCGACGAAAAAAAGCCATCATTGACGAGCTCCACGCCCCATCGTCGTCGTCTGCTTCGTCGTGCAGACCATTCTTCCACAATGCAACGGGCATGCCCCTGATTATTCCCCATGCGCCAAACTTTGAAAGTTTCGATGCAGAGGAGGCAATCCGGCATACATTCAACTACGAAACTCGGCGATGGGAAACGTCAAAGGTACGACGCATCTCCCCCCCGCCTCCGTCCTTCCATTGACCAAATCATGCTCGCAGGTCTGTGTCATCTTGGACGAAACACCATTCGCCAAGGGCAGTCTCCGCCTCGTATATCACATGCATCTAGCTGACGGAGAGTCCATCGACAAGTCGTCGCCGACGTCGCATGTCGCGAAACTCGCGATCGATCCAGACGAAGATCCTCAAACGTACTTTCGCGACATTGAATTGCAGGCGCATTGCGGCCACTATGCCGACTTGTACAATGCGCACGCACCGCCAAAGCGCGTCCAGTTCATCCAGGCGTGGGTCGTCGAACTCACAAAGCGCCACGGCGCACTCTGTGCGGTCGAGCGCTACATTCCTGGGGACTACCGTAAACACAACAACAACTTTGGCAGCGTCAGCGAGGAGGACCGAAACACACCGCAAGCGTTTTCACACTTCACGTACGAAGCGTCGCATCACGAGCTGCTTGCAGTTGACATCCAAGGCGTCGGCGACATGTACACGGACCCGCAGGTACGACAAATGATCGAGAAGTGGATGGTCGACCTCATTGCTGTGCAGATTCATACACTGAACCGAGGGGATTTCGGCAAAGGCAATCTCGGCGTCCTCGGGTTTAAGAAATTTCTGGCCACCCATCGATGCAACCCGATCTGCGCCTACTTGAAGCTGCCCCCCGTCAACCCCAAGGTGAACGCAGAAGTTGGGACGGTTCCAGTCCAGCGAGTCATGGCCCTCGACAAGATTCACGATGCCCCGTTTGAGTCAAAGCACTATTACGAACAAGCGCCGCTGCTCCAAAAGTACGTCGCGCAATGTCGAGAAGATGAAGCGCGACAGACGTCGAGGAGGGCCGACGATCAGCGAGGGTGTCTCACGTGTCAATGTAGTATTCAATGACGCGATCGTGCCATGGGTCTGCTCATCTAATCGGAGTGAGGCGACGATGGCGTCACAAGGCGCTGCATGTGTTGGTCCAAGGTGGAGGCAAACACATCGATGGAAAAGAGGTCCATCGCGCGGCGCACGCCTGCTTCGCCCATTGCCTTTGCCTTGGCAGCGTCCGTGGCGAGCACTTGCATGGCGTGGCCAAACGCGACGGGCTCTTGGTCACAGAGGAACCCCGTGACGTCGTGGGCGACAGACTCGAGTGGCCCGCCCGTGTTGACTGCGACGACAGGCGTTCCCGATGCCATGGCTTCCACGGGCACAATGCCAAAGTGCTCAAAAGACGGCGTGTATAAGATTGCACGGGCTGTCAATAGCAACGCATGCTTTGTCGAGTCGGAAATCGACCGCAGGAACGTGACTTTATCCGTGAGTTTCTTGGTCGCGACGAGCTCAGCCAATTCGTCGTAGTGCGCGACATTTTCTGCGTTCAAAGGGTCGTACCTACACTTGGGGACGTGACAAACGAAAGGAAGGAAGGGGACGGACCCGCCGGCTAGGACAAGATGGACGGTGGCAAACACAGCGGCCGACACCTGCGACTCTAGCCACGCAAGCGCTTCCACGGCAAGAGCGATATTCTTCTTGCGTTCAAAGCGATTGAGGGAGACAAAGAGCGCGGGGAACTGGAGCGCGCGATGAAGGTCCTTCTTGTCAGTGGTCGGGATCGACGCGGGGCGAGCAAACGTCGAGATGTCCACGGGGGGATACAGGATGCTCAAATGCCGCGCATCCAGCGAAGGAAACGCCCCTGCAAACACAGACGCCGTGTACTTGCTGTTCACGACCATGGTGTCCGCAGCACCTACGTGAAAGGACAGTCATAGAGACTTCCAGAATAGATTGGCATAATCGTACGGGTGGTGGCTTCCTCCAACGCGTCTAGCGGCATGCGGTAGAGTCGCTTGAGCATCGAGCTGCGATCCGTGCACAGAAGTTTGTCGGGATAATGTCCATAAAAGTACACGGGACGATTGAAGTAGGCGCGCAGGAGAGGAATCGGTAACGACACTTGGTCGAGGAAGAACACGTCCGTCTCCCATTGAGCCAGGAACAAGCGGAGCGTGATGTACACCATGCGCAGGAATGCGCAGAACGCGTAGAGGCGGCCAAACACTGTGCGCGGAAGGTAGTCTCCATACACCACGATGCACTTGGCGAGGGGGCCGTCGCCACGTGTTTCACGAAAGCAATGGCCCCGGTCATGGTGCGAAGTGCAGATATGCACATCGTAACCTTTTCGCTGCAACGCCACGGCACAGTTCACGATGAGGTTTTCTGCCCCGCCAATGCCGAAGTCTGGATGGAGGAATGTTACTTTGATCTTACGTCCTTGGACCGGTATGGTTACCGATGGCGAGATGGACCGAAAGGATCCATACACCAATCCAAATATTAGCCACACCAGACCCATCGCCGATGCCATCACTGCGGCCGCTGCCAGGGCTCCACATGTGCCGCAGCCCATCGTGCTGATCTGGCCCACAAGAGTTTCCCACTCGGCTCGATTAAGTACGAATATTTTTCCTTCTTCGATCTTCGTTTTTTCCTCACACCGTCAACCTGTTACAGATTTCCCCCGCATTAGGAGACCCACCATAATTTAATATCCCTCAAAAATGTATACATAGTCGTGGAGGTTTGTAAAATTTTGAAGTCAGAGAGGTATTTCAAAATTCAATGCAATGGACACATGTTGACCATGGCATATGGTCATATGCCATCGCCGTCAAAGCCGTCATCGAGGCAGCGGCAAACAATCGAGTAGAAGCGAAGATTGAAGATTAATCGAGCATCGTACTGCTAATCCAGAATTAAATGGGTTGCAGCTACGCATGTGGGCCTAGCATGCATTCAGTCTCAACCACGTGCCTTATCAAACAACAATGACACTGTACGGTGGCTTAAAGCCGCTATCTCGCACTGTCATATCTAGCCCACACACAAAACAGCGCACCAGCCCCATCTACCCCAACTCAACTCGAACAGCAACTCTGGTCGCAAATGTTGGCGCCACACATGAATATTAGACGAAGATGTGTATGAGTTGACGAGCAAGATGGCTAACTTGTAATGGGATGTATATGTTGTGTGAGGTGAGCGTTCTGTCCTCTGGAGGTTGCCAGGGTATCAACCCCCTCCTGAATTTGAAGTCCATTTTGCAATCAGAGCACACTGCATGCACAACATATAATTCTTCACGGCCAATCAGGTATCAACACGCCACCTCGTAACTAAATACTCGTCATGACAAAATACCCCTGAAAAATAATTTCGTGCAACTGTCTCCTAATGCGGGGGAATCTGTAGTGTAGATGACACTTGCTCTGTCATTTACGGAAATTTCACAGTTATTAGTGTGTAGCACACTAATTTCAAATCCACACTAATTATGTGCTTGGATGATTAGTGCGGACCACATTAGTTCCGTAAGTGAGAATGTGTGGACTCACCGGAGTGCGCAAGGTTCATCAATCCTGTTTTGTGTTTCCATTAGATGCAGCAACACCTATGCTGAAGACGATTGTGTCTGTATCATCTACCCTGAGATATACAGAAGAGTCAATGTTTATTGTTGGATCAGATGGATGAGCTCGGTGGAAGAACTGGCGCGACTTCGTAGTGCTCAGTGTGTTGGCTATAATCGCCTGCAGCTCAGGTGTCAGCTGCTTTTTATGCCATCGACTTGTAAGGTCAAGCGCCATGCCGCATCGGATCATGGCCATGCGTGCATATGTCAAACCACTGTCACGCATGCCATTGACCTGCCGGACAGCTTGAGCAGCAAGCTGCAGGGAGAATGTCTTGCCCGGGTTCTTGAGCTTGCTCGACCACAAACCGTCCTTGCGCACAGCATCTGACCATTGGCTATCCCGAATCAGGTACATCTTCGCGATCTCCCGCAGACGCGTCCATTCGTCTTTGCTCTTGGAAATCACAAACGAGTCAGCTGACTGTACGAGACCCTTCGCGAAAGGCGGGAAATAGCGCAGCTCAGTTTTGGTCGAAGCGAGGGAGTCACGAAGAGCGGGACTGTTATTGTGTTCGCCACAGTTATCACGTACATGATTGTAATGCGGCCAGCTGGATTGCGATTAACCGCGCGGGTTTCCAGGAACCAGCTAGGAAATACCTAAAAGGACAGTTAGGATGAGGAAAATTTTACGCGACAAGACAACCTGCACATCATTCCATCCCTTAAGACCGGTGCGGTAGGATGCGCCAAATACGTTGTCTGGAACGCCTTGAATCGGATACTATCGCATGTCATTTGTAAAGAATATCGTGGGTGCACCGATAGGAGCGCGTGCACCGCCAGCGGACGACCATCATTGTCATCACTTCTCCACCCGGCACAACATCAGCATACTTGACCGTGCCGTCACCACGGTAGACGAGCGTGCGGCATAACCGCAGGTGATAATGAAATGGGTTTCGTCCATGTTGCAGATGAGGTCCTCGATCAGTTCCCCGGAATCAAACCCACGTTGTAGTTCGCCCAAATGGAACGCAACAGATCTCTCAATGTGCGCCAGCTACGCAGGACTGGTCTTCCGTTTGCCTGTCTGCTTAACGGGCGACAACTTCTTTGACTTCCTACGAGAAGATATCCATGAATACATATTACTCAGCACAATCAAAGTTGAACGTACCATGAGCTGCTGAACCCATCGTGTTGAATTCTTGTCCTTAATTGGTTTCTGGTCAGCCGGACCAATAAGTTTGAATTGTACGCAGGGGCATCTGCCATGACGATGCCGGCTAATTGGATGAGTAGGGCGGAAGAGAATATGAAGCTTGCGGCTTTCAGGCGACAGAATTCGGATTGCAGCACGGCATATATGTAGGAAACCCACTCTGACCGGCTGCGCGCTTGGCCAGCGATCGCATTCAACTGTACCCACTCGCACACCCCTGGTGTGACTGAAAAGACCGATTTCTGATTGGAATGATTGGGTAAATCAAAACGTCATGCCACCATCGCGCCGCCTTCATAGGATTGGCCTGCATACATTGAACAAAATCCTGTCGATGACAGAGTTTACACACACCCTACACTCATGGACAAAACTTAGGGAACACTTACATTTCATGGCACATCTCATGAAGTATTGAGAGTTGAGAGTTGCTGTTGAGTACGATGAGCCTATAGCACTGAGGAAGAGCTGGTTATAGCTACTGGCGCGCGAATCGTCAGCGTCGGGGGCTTTCTATTCAATATTCAATTTGTGGACCCAGACAAAATCAAGGAATAGAATTTGCTATACAAAATTCAATACATTGCTCAATCAATAATGAGTATTGTCACTATTGCGTCGAATCGTCTCCAAGCATCCGCGATGCATGGAATCAATGAGATTTTTGACCTCCTCATCTGAGATCATAGTCCAGGCAAGCAGCACAGCGTCGCGCAACTCAGAGACGTTCTGGTACTGACGGCCATTGTTGTAGACAAAACGTGACATCGAGGACCAAACGT